ACACGGCGTCAGCCTTCCCCTCAGTCCCCTCGCCCCTGCCCACCCCCAGCAACCAAGGCAGCCCCGCCTCTCTGTCCCCCATAGTAGCCACCAATCCCACCCCTTCCCCCCAGGACCCCAACTCAAAACCCCTCCCCCGCAAGCGCGGCCGCCCTCGCATCCACCGCCCGGCCTCGGAGCCCTCAGCCACTGGTAGCACCAGCCCCGCCAAGCACGCCCGAACCCAGTGCATGCCGCACACCGAGGTCGAGCGCAAGTACCGCGAGAAGCTCAACGCGGAGCTCGAGCGGTTGCGCAAGGCCGTGCCGCTTTTGCCCCAGAGCGATGCCTCGTCCGAGTCTGGCGGCGTCAAGCCGAGTAAGAGCATGGTGCTTGCGGTTGCTATTGATTACATCAAGGAGCTGGAGCGTCAGCGCGATTTGGCGGTTGAGGAGGTGGAGCGGTTAGGCGGCAAGGTCAAGTTTGGGCGGGTGGGAGGGTGGAGGAGGGGGAGTGAGGATAGTTGAGTTGAGTTTCCTTCTCTTCTTCCTCTCCTCCCTCCCCTCCCCCTTTTTTTTTCTTTTGTCCTTGAGAGGGGAGATGGGGGGGGGGGGGGTTGAAGAGAAAAAAAGTCGACTTCATTTACCTAATTTGGTATCATCGTTTGCATACCCTCCAGCGCCTTTCGACATTGAAAACTCCACTCGTTTGAGGGGAAATGTGTGGAGAACATACAGACACAGGAGCATGTTTGTTTTCTTGGGGGTAAAAACTGTGCTTCTCACGGATGGGGAAAACCTTCTTCAACATATTTATCTTCTGGACATAGAGGCGAAGAAGGATACTTCTTTTTTTTCTTTTTTTTTCTTTTTTTTTCTTTTCCTTCTCTATTTTTTGTACTTTGTTTGAGAACACGGATACCCACTTGATTATATATCAAATTTCGAGCACATGGAGAGAGCCTTTCGCTTGGGCCTCTCGGAATGAAAAAAAATTACTATATATACGCATATATGGGTTGGTGATGTGAGAATATTTAGGAGTTAAGGATTGTATTTGGGAATCATACTATAGAGGGGTTAGTCGAGGCGGGTTGTGCTGCAACTAATGTACTAGTTTACAATCACAGACGAATGCCCTTGTCTCTGGCAGAGCATGGGCGTCTAGGTGCAGCCAAATACTTAATACATATCTGGGTTTTCAGCGTTGGTTCGATGAAATCACAGACATGTAACTTGTAGAGCAAAGCTATTTGATGGTGACTTTGTCAAAGGGACACGGGCTGTGGTGAAAGGAGGCTCGTTATAGAACCTCGTGAATAGACCATGTATATAGTTAGGACAAGAATAGTAGAAACAGTGTGATATTGGTATTGCCATTCAGTCAACTACTTCTTCGGACTATGATCAAATACATACGCGGTGGCGGTGTCATATCCAGGGGTTTTGCCTCGAGCGAGCTTTTCGGAACTCATGCTGTGATAGCTCTTTATCATTGTACTTGATTCTCCCAATCAAGTACAGTCTCTCAGTAGTGTTGAGTATGCTCAGAACCTATTATTCAGACATCGATTACAGGCCTTCGTCTTGCACTTCCTACAAGTGTTCACAAACCTCAGATGGTAATCGCATATGCCACACACTTCCCACTCGCCATCCTCACCAAATGTTCGTTCCCACTGGTGGTCGCATTTGCCAGAGGACTGTTTGGCAACCCCATCTGCGTTTTCGTCGTTGACAATTGCAAATCCTCCAGCCACGGTTGCGAGTCGCATGCGCAGGCCTGCCTCGAGTATTTCGGGCATCGCGATTTGTTTGCGCCGGCTAACCCTAGTAGCTTTTCTATCGGCGAGGAGGCGAACTACATCCGTGTGAGGGCAGGTACAGGTCTTCCATGGCTTTGCGCATATGTAACAGAACTCCTTGCCGCATCGACATCTAGCCCACTGTTAGTGATGGTCAATTTCAGGCTCTACTTTGTTCTTACCGCATATGGTAGCAGCCCAAGGTTAGCTCGACCATTGTTCTGCAGTTGGGACATCGCTGCCACTCCTCTTCGGTAGCCACTTTGATCAGTGCCTGGATTGATGGATCTTCTGGGCACACCCCATTGTGTCTTGGATTTTGACAAACAGCACAAGTTTCTTTTTGGCAAGTTTGGCATACTGCAATATCGGCAGTGATATTACAAGGTTTAATAAACTTGGCACAACTTCGGTTGCTGCAGTATACAGGATTCGGCGTCGTCAGCTCCATCTGTTTGTCCTCGTATTCTGCCATCAGTGATGGTGGACATAGTTGCTTGCAACGAGACATCGGCAAGGATTCGCCACAGCACCGAGGTGGAAAAAGGGTCGTATCTGCCAGGCTAGTGTGAAACAAGTCACTCAAGCACGTCCTGCAGTAAGCGTGAGCGGAGACTTCTGTCGAGCGTTTGCAGGAAAGCTCGAGCGCATCGAAGCGCGGATGCAATTCCATACAGGCAGAACACAAGATATGGGTTGCATGCTCTCCGTTGTCGAGTGGAGTTGTTGCCTTTCCTTTGCCTTTTCCCTTGAACTTGGAAGGGCCAGATTCGCTGTAGAGATCATAGTTCGACGCGGCAGCTGATTCAATATCGTGTTCTGTGTGCTCGTAAGCGTCGATTAATGCTAATGTCTCCGTCGGTAGGTCCATACCTTCTGTCATGGTTAGATCCTGGTCACAATCATCATCGATATTCAGTGGTTGCATCATGTCGCCTCGCTTCGACAACGGGACGTGTTTGTTAGCGATACCACGCAGTTTGCACGCGAGGTCGTGATCCTCTTCCGCTTGCTTCTCTTCTCGAAGAAGTTTAGCAATCACAGCTTGATTGTCTCGGTGTTCTTTGGAGCATTCTTTGAGGAGATCCATAGCAAAGACTTGATCTTGCAAGAGTGACAAACTGTATTCCAGTTCATGCTGCAATATCTTCCAGGCCTTCCACTCATCCCCTTCGTTCAACTCTTGCAGAGCTGACTGGACGTCGGCAAGCTGCAACTGAATTGCCAGTAGTGCTGTCCTTGGGTGAATACCCATGATTGTTTGGGAGGTTGTGCACTATAACAAGTGACGACTGATAAACGTATTTTTATGTTGAGGTGAGAATATGCTATGATCTGTAAAAGTACTATTGCGTGGTTCGAACAACTATCGAAAATTGCTCCTCAAGGCTCAGAGAGTGGAGACGGCGAGCTGTACTCAGACGCGGTATCAGATTATTGTGAGCTTGGTGAGGGGTCTTGGCTTCACTTTCTGACTATGTTATGACGGCGTCTCTGTGGTTCTTTCTCAGTAAAACCCTGTCAAACTTCGATAAAGACTCACTCTGTTGAGATTGGATACATAAACACGAAAGCGCGTGAGCCTCGAACTGAAGGACTACGCAAAAGTACGGGAGATGAACGGTTGTGTTGCAAAGTAAAGAAAGCTCAAGCGACAAATAGACTTTATGTACAAGTCTGATGCAAATTTTGATCGTTTTGTGTGAAAGCTTGGCAAGTGAGGTGAAGTGATATACTGTTGTGAAAGCGCTTGAGCACGTGACTAAGCAAATAGACTGCATGACGACAAAGCCTCACGGGCTACCTGCGCCCTTTACGTCACGGTGATTGAGTAAATGGAGTACTAAAAGGCACTTATTCTGGGGAAGGGGGTATCGTGGTCAAGCTATATAAGTGTGGAGACTTTGGGGGTCAGAGCTTCAAAGCTTTAGATAGTCGCGTGTAGTTGAATTGCTATATAGATTATGCACAGACGAAAAAAACCAACTTTTCAGGCGTTTTGCGCACGCTGTAGAGTTGATAATCTAATATAGACAACGGGAGAAGCTAGAGGCGGGCTGTACGAGTTGTTTTATACTAGTTTCGAGATGTGCAGCGCCGTAGCTGGTGAGATGAGTTTAGTCTGTTAGTAATAGGGTGATAGGGTGATATCAGCTACTCTATTCTTGTCTAACGAAGGATTAGGTGTGTATAAGATCTCGACAAAAGTGATGTAGGTTGTATCTCCAACGTTCCCCGTATGTATGAGTATGCGCTGGCTTTCTACAGTTACTTGTCCATTTGCGCAGTTTACACTTTTGTTCAGCGGCAGACTGGTCCTGTGGATTCAAAAATGAGGAAAATCATCTCAATTCGGGTACAATGTAAATTTAAGTGTGAGTGTTGCACAACCTGCTTTCCTCACAACTAGTCCAAAGAGTAGACCTACAAGCAGACCAATGACTTCAATTACTGAAAAGAACTTGAATGACGAATCTAAAATCAATGCTTGTAAATATATCTTGATCGCTTTCTTGTACTGTAGTAGTTGTACAAATAACAGTACCAAGTCAAGCGACAAAACCTACCACAACCCCATCACAACCTCAATAACCCCCCAAAATAAAATACACAAACCCCAAACGAACCCCCTTGACCTCCTCCATCCCCCCTAGCCTCACATAAGTCCCCTCCTCAACCCGCGCAACCCCACCAACATGCACATCTCACCTAACCTCCCCGTGTCCCCAGTACCACAACCCCGGGTCATCCCCAACCCCACTACTACTACGGCCCTCACCCGCCCCCACCCAACCCAGCCCAACACCAATGCGTCCTCCACGCACACCTCTTTGCCGCCAACCAAAACCACACCAAACAATCGCACAAGCAAGAGCGACGTATTTAAAAAGAAAACATGTCGCTGCAACCCGCTATCCTGGCTCAAATGAGTGAGCAAGATGAGGCGGGGAAGGTGGTTCGAACCTATGTTTTGTCTTCCTCTTCCTCTGCATCGTCGGATAAGAAAGCTGGGAAGTATGGTGGGGAAAAGAGGGTTGATGTTATAGTGAGCAATTTCTCCTTCTTCTTCTTTTTTTTTACTGGTTTGTGTTTTGAATGCGGGGGAGTTACTCTCTTTCTCTCTTTTTCTTAGTTTGATGCTTGCTGTTTGTGGTGCTGAGTTTTGGTTGATGCGTCAGTACTAGGTACCCGAGCAAGCGCACAAAAGCATTCTCCAGTACATGATTGATGTGTTTTTGCCGAGTGGATTTCCACAGAGTGTTACGGAGGATTATGTCGAGTATCAGATTTTTGTAGGTTTGGATGGGTTTCTTTGTTGTTGATTTGAGGTGGTGGGTTAGGGATGAAGAAGAGATGGCTGAGAAGAAGAGGAGAGAAGAATGACGTGGAGTGGATTAGGGAATTAACGATATAACACAGGATTCACTTCAGGCTTTTTCGTCGTCAATTGCGGGTATGTTGGCTTCAAGGGCGGTGTTACAAGGTAGGTTGTTTGTTTCATTTTCTACCTGCTCTATCTTACCCATGCCCCTCAACTCTCGACCACCCTTTTCTGACTCACCTAAAGGTGTGGGAGTGGGCGATTCAAATGCCACACCCACGGCTGCACTGCTTCTCTCCGTCCTCCAGGAATCCGTGGGTCGCATGGCAACAATAGCCTTTGCCGATCGCTTCGGTACTGCACTCGAGCCAGAGTGCAAAATGTATCGTCTTACAGCGGATATTTTGAATGACTCAGGCATGATTCTCGACTGCTTGAGTCCTGGGTTCCCTAAGCCGCTGCGGGTAGCTGTCTTGAGCTTTGCGAGCTGTCTGAGGTCACTGTGTGGTGTTTGTGCGGGGAGCTCAAAGGCGAGTTTGAGCGCGCATTTTGCTACTGCGGGAAATTTGGGAGAAGTCAATGCCGTAAGTTTGATTACCCCTTCTTCTTTGTTCCTCTCTACTCTCTTCATCGATCGAACACATGTCGTGCATTGGTAGGTTTCATCGTCTCTTCTCAATTATCGCCGGGTAAGCTGGAAGGGCAAAACGGGAGAGAAATGAGTCAATAAAGACAGTAAGCCCGTCTTCAATAAATGTAGTTAGTAAAATCCGGGTCATGAGAACATGGACAAGAGGAGAAATCTCAACCAGGGGTTGTTAAAACAGCAACACCTATACGGCGATACACTTGCGAAGCTAACGGGAGTTTCAATAGAAAGATTCCAGCCAGGAAACAGTCATATCCCTGCTAGGTATGTTGGTAAGTACTTACCCACATTTATCCTATCTCTCTCTCTCCCGTCTGTCCCGAGTCATGAACGAACGAAAAAGATAAAGTAAAACGCTGTATTAACAACGGATGATTACACACAGGCAGGGAGTTTTGTGGTATCGCACATCACATCGGATATAGCAACTTGGTGCACGCTTATACTGCTCCTGGTCATACATCTGGCCACGAATTACGCCGCAGTGCGAGCCGTCAGCATGCAATCACTTAATCGGCAGAGAGCCAATATTCTCTTTAGTCACATCTTGCAGCACGGAATAGTGCTGAGCCCTAAAGAGGTGTCTGCGCGTGAACGCATCTTTGAAAGAGGTGGTGTGCTGCGGTGGGCAGATGACGAGGTACTCGGCAAGTGTAGGATTGGTACCTCTCTGTCGGAATTGCTAGGCCGGATTGGTAGACGTGATAAGCTGAGCGGGTCGCTGGCGTTTTGCAGCAGCGGCGCCGATGGCGAAAGCGAAGTTGATGTATTCGATTTACTGAGCATTTTCGAGGCCGAGGATTACGTGCTTTGGGCGTCAGGGGGACCTGCCGCTTATGAAGCTGTCATCGTGCTCAAGGCTGGGTGCGGGCCGATCGATCAGCTTAGGGCGTGGGCACATGCACTGCTTGTTGCAGAGAGAAGGCAACGTGGTGGTGATGGTGGAGGAACAAGAGGTGGGTTAGGGGGTAAGCCGGACTGTGTAGTAGCGTCTGGGTCGGATAAGGCGGCAGCAAGGAATGGGTTGATGGGCGAGCTAAGAGATACGCTGTATGAGGTGCGGAGGATGTTTGACAAATACGGCGACGAAATGAGGGCAAAAGGATGGCATCTTGATGTTGCTGCGCTCGAGACCAAGGCTGGGATGCGGCTGCAGATTTCATCAACGGGACCATGCACTTCCGATTAACGAGCATTTGAACTATTGGTATACCATAGTAGTTAGAGCGACCCTCCACCCTGTCTGTCCCACACTCCTAAGAAAAGTGTGAAACAAACCAAGGGCGTGGGAGGCATGGGAGTCCCCACGAAAGTCATGTTCCGGGGGAGACAGGTAGCCCGAGCGGTTCCACAGACGTGTTACAGGCGGCCTAGGTAAAACGTCGCTCGGCTACTAGTCAGCTAGATTCCATCATCGTTGTTATCACACGCGCGGCTTGGGGGGGAAGCGAGGCTCGAACTAGCCGCATAGGATCGACGCCGGCATGTGGCTCGAGACAGATGTTTGAAGCATGTTTGATTGACCGTCAGCATGTCGCCTTTTTGCCGCCTTTGTTTTTCCCCCTTCTCTACGCTCTACTCCAGATGGGGGGGAGGTTATTGTCAAATCAATACTCTGCTACTCACCCGCCCTTGATCCGTGCCTGGAGAGGAATGGTGTTAGCGCGCGCTCCATCTGGACCGGTTTCAAATATACCTGGCCTTTTTTGGTCCGGTCAGCTATGACTACCCACCGCCAGGTCCATAACCATCAAAGGAAAATCAAAAAGAGGCAGAGAGAGGTGATTGCGGTCCAAGCTCTTTGTGAAGAGCTTAGTAGGTTAAAGTTGAAGTGCAGGAATTAGCTTCTGCTCTCTTTCGGTCGCTGTCTCTCTCTCTCTCTCTCTCTCTCTCCAGTGCATAGGGCCTCAGGTTCCACTTTGACGAATATGCAATGCAACATCATCAACTCACGCACGGTTGACACGGTCATATAAGACGGGTATATTGTTTGCAATCAAGCGGCCGGTGCAGTCCAGATTGCTTTTCCCGAAAACGTGGTCGTTGGGAAAGGGAAGCCCGCGGCTGAGAGGCTTCAGCGAGACAGAGAGCAAGAGCAAGAGAAAGGAAAAAAGCAGCCATGTTCTGCATAGTCGGCGCCACCATATGCAAGGAGGGGATAAGCCGTGCCGACATCAGGCTCGAACGTAAGTGTGTGCACATGGATGCCAAGTCAGCCACTTAGTTTCATCCATGGTGCTTGAACAGACGTGAGAAATGGGGAAGCCAAAGGCAAAAAAAAAGCAAACGCCACGAAGCGGTGAAGCGGAGAGAAGATGAGAGAGATTTTCTTTCCGACTTGGAACCAACGAGCACAAAGGCGATCCACAAGCTGCGTCATGGCAGGTGTTCTCTTGGGGCTACTGAGCCGAGTTTGTCTTTGTTTGGGCGGAACACAAATTTTTTTCGGTAGGAACAAGTTCTGGAACTTGGGTAAGGACTGAATCTTTGAGTCGGCTATTGTCGGAAAGATGGAACACGAAGCGGCGAGGCGCAAAGCAAGAGCGAACACGGCAGGTAGTGTAAACAAGGCAGGCAGGCAGGCAAGGACATGCAACGCGCAACAGCAGCGACAAGAGGCTCGCCAGATGGGCCGAAGCAGCATCCCAACAGCATAAGGATGCGTCGGGTGTGTGGGCTTGTCCGAGGTGAAGATGAGATGACAGGCATTGGTGTTACTAGGCCGGGTATTATGCGGCATGGTCGATGGATCTACAGACAAGAGCGGGCAGACGGCCCTAAACGGCATCAGGCAGGATTCTAGAAAAGCACAAAAGCTTCGAGAAGTCTTCTTCGATGACACGGCTGCCAGAGCAGAAGGTGAGCAGGCAGGGGTAAGCGGTGTGTGGTCTGACCAAGTGGGTTTACGTAGGAGGGCATGGTGGCAGCTAGCAGGAAAAAAAAGCCAGAGTCGGACCGCGACGGACAATGGCGGAGGGCCGGAGGAGGGGCGGAGGGTGAGGATGGGCCATGGAAGTCTAGAGAGAGAAGAGGCTTGGGCAAGGCATGAAGCACAGAGGGGGAAGGTATGCAGTAGAGGCAAGATGGGAGGGGAAACATGGCATCTAGAAGGGCAGGCAAGGGCCTAGGGCAGCAGAGCGGAATCTCGATTGCGCAAGTAGTAGTAAGTAGAGACAGCGTGGGGATGACGGATGGCTGAGGATTGTCTTGTGTCAGGTATTTGTGGCTACACGGAGACGGCTCCCGGCCAGACGTGTGGGCAGGGACGCGTTTGTCCCCAGGCATAGGGCCAATGCCAAGCAAGTGGCCGTGCACGGCCCGTTCGCCTGTCTGAGGGGAGCGCGTGGGCATGATTGGCCGTGGGTGACGAGGCCCAAGGCGAGCGTTGCATTGCACCACCGACGGCGCTGGCAAGCGTGTCGACGGCGGTAGGACGAGTCGGGTGGACGAGTGCGTGAGCGAGTTGCTGTGTGGCGGGCTCATGGACAAAGCACGACAAGTACCGACATGAGTACACTACCTGCTCTACACTCGGTCCACCCAGAGTCAGTCTATCTAAGCAGACGGCCAGGACGGGCACATGTGGCAGAGTCATCAGAGTCATAGGGTGGATTAGTGATGCCGTCGGGCGAGTCGGGCGGCGGCCTCAGGCCTCAGGCGTGCATACTGCTGGCGCTCTTACCCATCCACGCCCATACCTGTCCACATGGCAGCAGTCTTGTCTGTGTGGAGAGGCGGCGGCTGCGGCACCCAAGACAGCTAGCAGCGGGTGTACGCGCAACAATGCGACTGCAAAAGGAAGGAGTCGACACGGCGGGGGCCATGGTGTGTGTAGTAGGCCTTTGATGCTTGGAGCGTGGAAAAGGGCCGAGCGAGGGCGCGGACATTAGGGCGAGAAAGAGAAAGAGGATGACGGCGGCGGAGCGACAGAGCAGCCGACGACGGACAAGGCTGCTGGGGTCAGATAACAACAACAACCGTGCTGGGCTGCAGCAGGCAGTGGCAGTGGCAGTGGTACTCGTCTACTGGCAACCACGCCGTCGGAGCAGGCCAGAGGTAGCGTCGTCGTCGAGCATGCCGGCTGCTTTTCTTTTTGGCGTCTTTTCTTTCCTTCTGTGCACCGGCCACGGGACAGAGGGCGGGGAGCAGTCGAGTGGAGTGAGGATGGAGTGAGATGATGGCCGCAGTCGCAGTCGCAGTCGCAGTCGCAGTCGCCGCCGCCGCCTCTCCATGGCCGGCCGCGAGGAGCAGCGGGCGTCGCATCAGCAGTCGCACATACAGGGACGGGTACACAAGACAAGCTCAGCAGCAGCACCATGACCACATCGGACGTGGCGAATGGTGGAGCAGGGCGCCAGCAGGCGAGGGGCGTGCAGTTTCGGCCGGGATGGTGGTGGTGGTGGTGGTGCGGTGCAGCGGTGCTGGGGCGGGCGTGCGTCTTCCAGAAGGCAGCGGCGGCCAATGGCAGGCCAGGCGCGCGTGGCCGCTTTTAGCAGACGAAGCCGTCCTGTCCTCATGCTCCGTGATGGCCAAACCGCTGGGTGGGGACGGGCCCGTGCCCTCTGACTGAGCTTTCTGCCCACGCATGGGCCCGCCGACGCCAGCGACCGACTCCCTGACTCTCGACGGCGCTTCGCTCAAAACCACGCTGAGCCGCAGATGCACCACGTCCTGTCCTGACGCACATCCACCGCCCTGCCTGGCCTACTAGCACCACCACCACACATACACATACACACTCACCCACACACACACACACACGCACACACACACCCCTACACACACCCGCACTGTACAAGCACGCCTGCCCGCCCGCCCTCCGCCAATCCAGCCCTCGATGCTGCTGCCGTCGACGTCCTAATCCACCCTCCTTCCCGCTGGCCTGTCGACACTAGGTTCTCGCTGAACCGAGTGCCCTCCCGCCGTCAAGCTGGCCCAACAAGTCCACCTCTGTCCCTGCGACGGCTTCGACGAGCAGAGCAGGAACAACGCCCGCCGTGTCTACAAGCAATTCTGGAAGAGCGTCATGGTCACCCGGAAGCCCGCCGCACACGCCCTCTCCATAAAGACGTCGTCGACCGCCTCGAGCTCCCCCGCCCGCTCCCCCGTCGACTTGGACGGCCACCACTCCAACATGGCCATGGCCGACTACCACCATGCGCAGCCCGCGCCCTTGACCGTCTCCATTCCAAAGAACATTCCCAGCCCACAATGCCGCAAACCAAACCTCGCAGAGATACTCAACAACACCGCCCCTCCACCCTACACCCTCACTTCCTTCATGGCCTTTCTCTCCCAAAACCACTGCCTCGAGAACCTCGAATTCACAATGGACGCCTCCCGCTATCGCAAGCACTACTCCAAGATGGTCAGCCGCCATCCTGGCAGCCCAATCTCACCTCTGTCCGACGAGTGCGCCTACGTCCTCATGCTCTGGCGTCGCTTGATCGATGCCTACATTCGCGAGTCAGGCCCGCGCGAAGTAAGCAACTGCTGCCCACGACCGCTCCTTCCTTCCCCCGCCAACATACTAACCAACCCCCAGGTCAACCTTCCAGCCGAGGTCCGCGACAACCTGCTCAGCCTCTCCGACTCCTACGTCCCTCCCCACCCATCGTCATTGGACAGTGCCGTGGCCAAGATCAACGAACTCATGGAAGAGAGTGTATTGGTCTCATTCCTCAACTCGGTCAGCCCACAGAGCGCACATCCCACCATCGGCCACGACAGCTATGCCGGAAGTAACATTTCGCGCTCCTCGACCCGTAGCTACGAGGAGCGAAGCATGCTCTCTCGTGCTTCACACCCGCCAGTCGCCGCCCACCAGCGCGCATCTGCGCCGTCTTCGCTCACTTCTGGCTTCATGCAATCCCGCCCCTTCTCTCATGCCCGCTTCCACTCTCAGCCGACGTCGTCCGGCCCGCCACCGGCAACCCGCATCACCTCGGGCTACACAAGCGGCAGCGATGCATTGACCGACGACTCGGGCAGTGCAAGCAGCCCTTCTGGCATGAGCGATCCCCTCACCCCACCCGGTACTCCGCCTGTGAGCGAATACCCCATGACTGACTTCCACCATGCCTACTATGACAATGCTCCGAGCAGCGGCACCCCCAGCCCCCGCAACAGCCGCGGAGAGCACAATGGTCTCGCTAGCGCTACTAGAGATAGTTGGAAGCGAGTCAGTAGCAAGCTATGGCCCCGCAAAAAGAGTGGTAGCCAGCTCCGTGACGACGAGCCTGGCGTCATTGAGGGAGGCCTCTTCTGAGCCTTGCCCAATGCACCCTCACCCTCACCACCACCACCACACCCTCACCCTCATTTCCATGTTCAAAAGCACACGATTACGACGATGCAATCAGAGCGACTTGCATCATTTGAATTATGCATACTGGGCTGCATGTCCACCGGCGTCACTACTTTTTTTTCTCCCTATCTGCAGTCCTCGGCATGCAACGGCGCAACTGGCTCACGACCCGGCGAGGTTGTTTTGTTTTCGGCGTTCCCCATTTTCCAACGACTAGACATTCACACGGGCGTTGCAAAACTCGTCCTCATGCTTATGCACCACTGTGGCTTGGTGCTGAGCAATTTGGCGGCCTTTTCAGTTTGACATTGATCAAGAGTGTATCACGACCGAAACCCGGCAGGGGTATGATTTTGATACTGGCTTATTTCATATTGACGTGTATCATTACGGCTTCTCTTTTCTTGCTGCTTTTCCCAAACACGCTCCTGAGGAGTCATTTACAGTTGGGAAGCAGAGGCGTTTCTTTCTTGTTCATAAGGTTTTGACGACGGTTGAAGCAAAGTCGGATTCAATTTAGATACCAAAGGCGCAAGAGAAGCGCTAGAGGATCATGACTACATTTCGGTTGGTTTCCAACCTAACAAAACACTTGTTCTTGCATTACTGTTTGTGCTGCATTGCATTTGCTGGTACTTGATTGAGTGCTAGCTGCGCTGGCGCCGAACTACCATGTCACTCAGTTTTCCTTCCCGAGGCATATGCAATAGGGCGCCTATTTTTTCCCCTCCTAACCAGTTGGCCAGCCTTGTTCATCCCGGGTATGCACTTCGCAGCCAGAAAAGCTTCCCCGCCACCCCCTTGCCTCAACATTCTAGCCCCAATCCCGTGGCCTTGGAGACCACCGTTCGCCCACTCAACGACGTGGTGCGGGAAGGATTTTTTGATATGCAAGGGGTGGCCGGACCCAGCGATTTGGGGTCGAGCGGTTGACAATGGGTTGGAGGTTGGGGTATTGTGTATAGATGAGAAAGGCAACTATAGGGGACACTGTTGGAGAGGATGGTTTACTGTGTGTTGGAGAGAATTTGCCTCTGTGGTGTTGAATGCGCACTACCCAAGCAAGTAGGCTACTACGAGTTTGTTTGGTTCTCGGGACTACAACTTGTTCCGCAGTCACACCGATCATGCACATCTTTTCCAACACTTTCAGTCCTCTACTATCAGAACCACGCATCCACCGCTCCCCTTTTTTTTCGTTATGCCAAATTTTTTTTTCATTCAATGAACGAGAAGATTACTGCATTAAGGAAATGCATAGAATGCAACGTCGAGTTTACCTCTTCGGTACATGACTCTTTCCCCTTTTTCTCTCTATATCCGCCCTCTCTATCAAAGATCTAGCCAGAGTAATTTCCACATTTCGCCGTATCTCTACAATATCATACTGGTTCTATACATGGCCCGTGTTGTATTGGCCGTCACTCGCTCTCACGAGCAAATTTCGGCACCTGGAGAATCCATTTTTCGCTTATCGCGGAAATCCATCTAATAAGGCGGCAGTCGAGTAACATAGCATGCGCCCTTCAATTCAGATATTAGGCACAAGCACTTGGCAGTGCTCTGCAGCTGGGGTGGTGAAACAAAAAAGGGTCCTAGGCACGGGGCGGCGGGCTGGTATGATACGGGTCGTCAGGCGTGACATGTTTGAGATGGGAGACGGTCGCATGAGTCAGTGGACTGGGCCTGCACGGGCGGTGAGGTGGGCGTAGTGGAGGCAAGCCCAGAGGTCAACGGGCGCTGTGGATACGGTGTATGGCGTGATAGTCAGGTGTTCATTGGTGTGGAGCACAACGGATTTTGCGTGCAAAGTCCGGTTGGGAGGACATGGCCCCCCCCAAAGCCCCCAAAGCCGAGTCGTCCTCAGCAACGAGACTATTACGTCTTGCAAGCGAAAGAAGATTGGATAGCCCGCCGTGGGCTTTGAAATCGCTCTTTTCAGCTAATCATTTCACCGTCACAGCGCCGTTAAACCAAAATCCCATGCACGACATAATTACAACCAACCAAACTCACACTACTTACCTAGGCAAGCAGCAGTACGCCCTAACTCGACTCGACTTGCGACACCCCCAAGACGTCACTATACCCACAATTTCCCTTGGTATCGTTACGGTTGCACCCAATGATGCCACTTCGCCCCTCTTCCCTTCAACCTCCCCACTGCCTGGTCCTTATTCCCGCAGCTTTGCACTTTCCTCATCCATCCAAGTCCATACACACATAGTACACATGCTATCGGCATTTTGAGCGGCATCGCACATGCTCTTGCCGCAAAACCACGCACGGAGGCCGATCCTCCCTTGAACCTGCCGCAGGTGCAATCACGCGGCCGGCCTGGCCTAGTTTTATTCCGCTCCATTGCCAAAAAAAGAAATAGATGTGCAGTTGTACGGTCCGAGTAGTACACCTAACTAACTAGTGGGCCCCTCTCTCTCTCTCTTACACACACACTCTCTCTCCCAAGAGAATGACCGCCGCATTTTTCGGCAACTCCCGCGTGAACAAAGAAAGCTTGATTTTTTTTGTTCTTTGCGATATTTTATTAACAACTTTGCGATCACGATTTCTTGTTTTTCTGGGCTTTTTGCTTACGCGTTTTTTGATTTAAGTGTCAAAATACCGCATTGAAAAGGAAAAGAAGCGATAAAACGTCACCAAACCGTTTCTCTCCCGCGGCCCCTTCCCCCCGCCCCCTTCCCAGTTTACAGATTTGTCAAATCATCAGTCTGACCAAACAAAAAACCTATATGTTGATAATTAAACACCCCCGGTTCATGTGTGTCTTGCCTCTTTTACACATTCTTGAATGAACAAGGATATACATCATCGGGCATTGCGTGTGCGTGTGCGTGTGTCAAGGTCAAAACGCAGAAAAAAAAGCCCATGATTTCACTTTCCTTTTACCCAAGTCCGTAATGCAGGGTCGCAAAGAAAGCAAAGGCCCATCCATGGGTTTGCTTCGCGGAGCGCATGCGCGCATGGGATGGGGATATGGGGAGGGGGGAGTGGTCGGGGCGCAGAAAAGTAAAGAACTAGTGGACATTGCAGAACCCCTCTTTTTTTGTGTGTGTGCTTAGGCCTGTTTGCATGGGTGGAGAGGGCAGGGCGGGTGGTATGACGAAATATCTGAGAAGGAGGAGGAGGTGGTGGTGGTGGGAGGGCTATGTGCTATGCAAAACCGATGCCTAACACCTGGAAGCCTATGGGCAAAGCAGCGCGTCCACCCCACCTCCCTCCCCGTTCCCGCGTCAGCACGACATAGGGCAGTGGATACAGCAACTGCTGTGTTACTGTGAACTGATGATCCCCCCATTTCCATTCCCCCTTCGAGTAGAGAGAGGCGTGTAGATCACGGCAATTGATGATTTTTTTTTTTTCGCCAACTTTCTCGAAGCCTTCCAGAAGAGTAACCAATACTTACGCCCCTTGGGGTTTCTTTCACGTGTTTCTCGCCCTGGTTATTTTCCTTCTCTCTTCGAATTCGATATGCTTCCCTTTGCTGGGGCCTTGGGCGGGGGCTGAAAAGGGAAAAGTAGATGGGCCAATGCACGTCACTCGATTCGCGATTGCATATACTGACGTATGAGAATCGTAATTTTGCTGGTATTGATTATGTACGCATACGGATCCAGGCGGTGGGTGTGGGTGCCCAATTGCTCGGGTTGCTCGGGAAGGTTCTAGAGAGGGGAGGGCGGGATGTGTCGAGGGGTTAGGCTTGTTTGGGGGAATATGTATGTACATGCTCTATTGTAGAGTAGAGTAAAGGGTATTAGAGTATGGTAGTGTAGCCAAGAGTTCGATATAGTAGAAATAAATAGGTAGTCTTGTTGCACTTATTGCAGTCAGTACATTCATCGCATCTCCGTTTACGTGTCACCATATCTTACGGCGAAACTTCACTCTTTTTTTTTTTTCTTTCTTTTACACAATAGCATCTACATGCCTTGCAGCAGCAGCATCAGGCTTTCTGATCAGACCCACACAAGGCCTTGTAGCTATTCCCAAGTTCCCCAATTGGAACGCAACGGCATAGTGCAGATGCGGCGGATCAAGCCTAAACCCTATTTTTCTTTTTCTTTTTACGTTGCTGATTCAACTACTCAGTCTGGTTACTCTGACCCCGCACGGCTTCAAGATACGAAGATACGCGTGCTCGCTTGTACCCGATAGAGAAAGAAAACTATGGTATTGGCTACTTTTTCATCGTAGATACGAGTCTATAGTCAGCTTGTTTCGTTTCTCCTCGCTACTTCCCCAGCCAATCAGGGCTCTGAACCAAAAGTTCAACTCCACGGAGCAAGTAATGGTACTACGTATGCAAACATGCGCATTCTCTGACCATCAAGAAACAAAGAAAACCAAAAGAAAAAGAAGACAAGATAGGACATGCGCAAGCAATCAAGTTCGAAAATCACGATGCATCGATACTATCTCCATGCTCCCCTTTTCGCCTCCCATCCCCCCGCACTGATCCGCATTGGCTCCCCCAATCCAAGCCCCCCCGCAACTCTGTCCCCGCCTCTAATTCGACACTCCGCTCGCATCACAAACCCAAACCCCCAAACCCATGCTCTCATCCCCATCATTCTCCTTCATGCTTCCCCTCTCTCCCCTACACACAGCCCACCCCCTGGTACATCCAAGCCCCCGGCCTAACCTGGCCAGACGCAAAAGGCACCAGGGATGCGCCAGCGGAGAGAGGGGAGGGGGGGGGAGGGGGAAACCACTTATGCTAGCTAGTTGCGTAAAAGCAGCAATGCATTGATCGGCGCTTTCCGCAAGCAGCCAAGATATGGTCGATATAGGGCGCATGCGCATGCACATGCACATGTCCATCTTGCCTAGTTGCACCCTTCTGTGAGAGGAGAAGGCGTATGCTCTGGGTTGGTCAGCGGAAGCTAGCGGACAGCGAGATGGAGCATTGAGCCCCGAGTCCGCACGTGTGTGCAGTGCTTGCTTGCTGCTCGTCCGACGCTTTTCTACTCATACTATTCTTATCGCTCGTCTATCGAGTCGCTGCTTTTCTTTTTCTTTTTTTTCTTTTTCGACAAGCAAGCGAGGATGCGGGTATGTAGACAGGACAGGCCTGCACACTTTCTGTTGATCTGTGCGTTTTTTTGGTCCACGCTACGGTACGGTCGATGGGGTGGGCGATGCAATGGGCCGGACTTGCTAGGTAGCAAGGCCATTGTTACCCTTAATTGGGGGCCAAGATTATACACACGGCTATCTTAGCATGATTATACATAATACAACAAGGATGTGTGCAGCGCACAGAGACAGAGAGAGAGAAGGCTTGTTGTCTAAGTGGTAGCATCATTTCCAACCCCCGCTCCTTTCTTTCTCCGCGTGTTTACAATCTGCCCCCGCTCTTGCCGCTTTGGGGTAAGGAGAAGAAGGAAGTTTGGGCGATTTGATTTGTTAGAGTTTAGCAAAATGCTTGTAGTTATAGAATCGTAATCTCCGTCTCGAGCGAGCGCGCGTGCGCGCGTCTGTGTGTATGTGTGCGCGTGCACTGCTGTTCGATCGGGCCCCGAGGGGCCCGGAAGACGGCATGGGTTAGGATGGACGTGGTTGAAAACTAATCAAACGATTTGATATTTACTCAGCTAATGGATGGTGATGGTGATGACGATGATGACGGCGGGTCAGGGGGGGGGGTTGTCATCTTCGTGGTTCTCGGACATTTGGGCGATTCAGGGTAAGGCGACGGCACGCTGCGGATATAACCAAAGGCTAAGGACGTCAGGCACGGGTCGGGGCTTGTGGTAAGTAAGCAGGGCGCGGGTTGTGTTGCATGCCCGTTGCCACTGTATTGATAGTATTAGTTTGCCATCTCCCCTGCTTTGGGCGTTGCAACTTGCAGTGGTAGCAAGGGAGATGCGGATGGATCAGCAATGTCATGTCTGTACACATCGATCGAAGTAGGCTGACCATTGCATACCGGCTACGTTTCTTTGCCAGTTCTGGGTGCTTACTTAGGTTTGTGTCATCTCAATCGTTTCAGATGGCGTAAACAACGGCCCGTATCATCTGTATACACATTTCCGCCGTGTGGTTTGCGTGCTCGGTACCTCTGCTTACTTACTGGGTAAGACCGGCATGCCCAGAAGAGGCGTTTCCGCAACCAAAAGGTTCAACCGGAAAGCCACATACACGTGCTTATCTAGATTTTACCCGTACACCGAGAGCTTGTCTCGGCGCCTCCTTCCAAACGGGCGGCGGTGTGCAACCGACACCAGTGATGCGATTCGCGCACCCGCTGTCATTCTGCTTGTTGCGATCACGAACGCATAACGAGAGATACTGCAAAAACTCTAAAAGTGCAGCGACGCTGGTCACCGGCCTCTTGGCGATATGCCCAGTCCTTAGATTCTTGCATATATTAAAACACTATGTTAGTCCTGTACGTACCATTCGGCATGCCGGTCGGCATAATCAGCCGCACAGAACCATAATGTACACACGTAGGTAGAAAAAAAACCAAAGTCCGAGCGAAAAACTCACCTTCATCTCACCACCTTCCTTACTATAGCCTGCCAATGAACTATATTATATTGAGGTAGTAATTCTCGGGCAAATCCATCAAACTTGCACCGCGGCCAAATTCTAAAATACATAGAGTAGCAGCAGTAGCAGCACCAAGTTACATGCATGGTAGTGCTCGCTCCCAAGTCAGATGCAAAGAAACCCAACAATCACGAACCCCTTCCTTCCAACCCTCTCCATATGCCGTCCACACACCCTTTACCTACACCATGGGGCTCAATCGCGCCGAAATCCAGACGTTACTTGCTCACTCCCCACACACACCTCTCTATACTACTCCCCCCTCCCCCACATGGCCAAACGGGGCGTGCATGCCAAGAGCCTTTGTTTAATTTGTGATATTGCATCCATATACTGTATCTGTGACAGTGACCACATGCTGTTTCATGAGACTAGGGGGGCCATGTGAGAAAGATGTCATTGTAAATTCCAGTCTTCCTTTTGATTTTCTCTTGCTGCTTTTAGCGGTCCTTGCACCTCGATCGGGGAGGTTAAAGTTACCAACATGCGTATGTGTGTGTGTGTGTGTGTGTGTGTGTGTGTGTGTGTGTGTGTGGATTGGCGCGCGGGACTAGTTTCAATGGGTTATATGGCAAAGGAGGAAGGTAAACGACCAACACCAAGCATTGTTTTGCATTCCTTCCCGATTGAGCTCTCGTGTTTTTTTTTACTTTAACCTTTATTTTTTTGCTTTTCTCCAACGTCCAAGGTTGACTTTGAGGAGAAGAAGAAGAAAAAAACACGGTGCCGAGTCAGATGTGTGGTGATCAGGAAAATTACTGCGTTTCTTCTTTTCTAGGAAGGTAGTACGACGACACGGCTTATCGGTGCGGAATGGGAGGCAAAAAATCGAAGGATGAAAGGTTAGCGCGATCGAAACCATCATGTCAAAATCGCAGAGCTTCTGTTTCCTTCTTCACTGGGATGAAAAAGACACGTTGAGCATGTACGTGCAGTGTGGTGGAAAGGGGAAATGGGCATAGTGATGATGTAATGCATTTGCAGTGGTAACAATGAAATAACAAAGAAATAAGCATCCGTATATTGTTCTGTCGCGTGACGGTAACGTCAACAAATGCTGTCTCATCTAGCTTACATGTTCTAGAAGCCTCGCTTGCAACGCAGAAGGACTGACCCAAGCACGTGTTCCTCCCGTACGAATAGATGAAGACGTTGCATTAGCCGATGAAGCTAGAAGCGACACACCAACGGCCCAGAACGAGTCTAAACGCCATCGCTCAAATGTCTAAATAGCCTTTAATAAACAATCCTGGGAATTGAGGACATTGTCCTGTCCAACTCTCAAAGCGTAACCACATGTCCAAAAACCCGTCGTCGAGCTAGGCAAGCATGGTGTGCAAGGACGAAAATGCGCGCCCTGATAAGGGAAAATGCAACATGCACAACACTGCATATACCCGGTGCGCGAGACCTGCGTCCCGGGTTTTGCTTGCCTTCTATCGTATTCGTCGAGATTGCAATGATCTGAATCCACGTCGACGGTACATTAATAGCACTTGTGATAATGCCCTTTGGGGGTATGTTAATGGTGGAACATGGTCGCTCCTAGACACATCCTGTTCCACTGCATCCCATTCCGCCATAACCAAGCGCCGGAGTCTTGAGGGATATGGCCCAGTTGGTCCATGTTAGATTGAGGCGTGGGTAGCCCATAAAGGACGTCAATGACCACATCTGGTGTCCGAGCAGAGGGAAGGATGAGGCGGTTTCTCGCTGCAGCAGATATTAACGATGCCACTAGCATCAAGCCGCAAGTTGGCATAGTAGTATGCTAGGTAAAAGCAGCAAGCACGTTATCCGTAACATGCGGCCAAGGAGACTCGCGTACGAGGCGCCGGGTAGAATGACAGTGTGCATGAAGCAGAACACCGACAGCGCTAGAGGAACGTATTGCCGGCGATTGGACTGGCCCATTTGCCCTTCTTTGCTGCGCGCATCTCAGCGTACAGAGCTGGATTGATCCCCTTTTTCTTACACCTCTTCAGTTCCGCCTCAGACAGCGTGCTGGTGTCAAAGTCACTTGCGCTCCATTTGCTGCTTCCACTAGATTTTGACGCAGATCGATCTCGTCCAACTTCCTCAAGTATCGAATGGAGCGAGCGATACCCCTCGCTTGGTGAAGTGGTGGATCCTGACAGCGTAAACGAGCTTGATGATCGGTTAATCGACGTTGTCTTTTCAATGACTAGACGACTAGGACTGGGAGAACTGTCTTGCATCTTATCAGACAGCTTGCGAGGCATCATTTTCCGGAACAGTGACTGAGGCGTGTGATGATCAAGACTTGCATATTCCAGAGGCGTTTCTACAGGCGTGGTTGACTGTCTTGAGCTGGAAATCGAAGAATGTGTTGATGATGCTTTGGATACGACACTAGGCGGTGGATTGGAGTACAAGTCATCTTTCATAGCATACCATTCCGAGCAAGGAGCCTCAGCTTCTGGAGGGTCATGGGCATCTTCGCTTTGGTCATCAGAAGTAGTCGTCGTCACTGAATTGATTGTTTCCAAAGAGGTTTGTCGCCGCAGATGCGGGGGCAGCTTCTTGTTGATCTTGAGTTCTCTCTTGTTGTTCCGATAAGAAACGAGCCCGCGCGGATGTCGGCGTGAGGCTGGTGGTTCAATGACAGGTGCCGGATCAGGTGATGTCCCATCTTTGGGTTCCGACACCAGAAGCGGATATGAGTATTTGCGAGCTAGATTTCGGGGCAATGGTGCGTCAACCGGATGAGACCGCAATGGATTAACACCGGATGCAGCGGATCCGTGAAGCGTGGGTTCATTGTATGCGTCACGATTGACTGAGGCTGCTTCATCTGGCGCTTTTGGGGGCAGTGGGGCTTCGTCTCCTTGCTCGTTGATGTCGTCAAATATGAACGAACGGTACTCTCTGCGCTGCTTCCGTGCTTCGAGAGCAGCTCTGGGTGAGCGACGAATCGGAGGAGGCAATGCATCGTCAATGTCCATTGCAGCACTCGAATGGGCGAATGATGGGTGAGGTTGCAACATGACCAATTGTGAAAAAGAAAGGAGACCCAACGCAAAAAATGCGCCGATTGCCAACTATTGAGTAGGTCCCGCTCAACCTCGCCAGGACGAGCAGCTATGACGCAGCTGTGCCTGCCAGAATCTCATGGCGTTGGCTAGCGCAAGTACAGGAACATGGCTGTACCTTGCATATAGTTCATGATGATAGATACCGGGCACCGAGACCAGGTATCGTCTGCTATTGAATAGGGATATCGACACCGCATCCGCAGCCTGTGTGCGGGGCATTATGTCGCGCCCGTTATATGTGCTTCCGGATGTGGATGGCAGCAATGAATACAAATAGAGGTGGACCGCCAGGTAAGTACATACTTACAGGTCGATTACGCGGGTGGCTAGGGCGTCGGCCGTTTCAAGCCGTTGCACTCAGGGCAGCCCGCCCAGCGGTGGCAGCGGTCACGTGACCGGCCCCTCCACCTCGACTCTCGGACGGGCCGTCACGTGCCCTGTCGACCCGCCGCAACATGTGTAGTGGCTGGCAATGGCATTGTGGGTGGATATACGAGAGTGTGTCAGGCCAAGCAGAGTGGGTGCTGGAGCTCGTTTCAAGTGTTGGGAGCGTGTCAGAGGCGGTTCCAAGGAGATGTTTCATGGCGGGCGGGCCCTGACAGGCCGGGAGAGGGGAGAGCATCCAGCCAACCGCACAGCGGAAACGGGCTAGACTGGCCGTCGGCGTCACCACCAACTCTAACCCCAACCAACCAACCACGACGACTACGACGATTTCTTGGGCGCTCCCTCCCCCCCCGTGCTTGAGCCTCACCTCACCGTTGCTGTCCTCGCGAACAGCATGTATGCAACGACCCTCCTCGCACCACTCCCGCCGCGCTGATCCCGTGCCCGCTCGCCATGAGCAACGACACGCCCACGCCCATCTCGGACGACGAAGTCGTGGCCCTTACAAAGGCCGCCTTCGAGCACTCCCGCCAGGACATCACCCAACGCGCCGCCGCAGAGGCGCCCCGCGAGTTGCAGCAGCAGCCCGGCATCACCATCGACCTGGGCCACAAGAACATTGCCCATCTACCAGACGAAGTCATCGATGTCATCCGCACAGAGATTGAGAGGTACATGCGATACACAACCCCGCCCTACCTTTGTCTTCGATAGGGGAAATGCTGACATGTCAGGCTCGCCCTCTCCCACAATCTCCTTGCCACCCTCCCCTCCCGCCTCATTGAATGCAGACGCCTCCGCTATCTCAATGTGCGCTACAATACCATGCGCGAAATCCCCGATGCCGTGTGTTGGCCCCCCCTTCTGGCATACACATGTCGCGACTAGACCGCTGACGCTTATCAGATTCTCGAGATGACCTCGCTGGAAATCCTCGACGTCAGTCGGAACAAGATCCGGTCTGTCCCCACAAAGATTGCCAACTTGACCTCGCTCAAGGTGCTGGCAATTGCAAAGAACAAGATTGAGGAACTGCCCGTATGTCTGGGAGAGATCAACAGCCTGCAGGTCCTCAAGCTCGATGGTAATCCACTGGTCTTTCCGCCGCCCGAAGTGTGCACCATCAAGGACAATGCCCCCTCGCCCGCAAACGAGAACGAACGAGATGCCGTCATAGCTACGCAGGTCAAGCGGTTTATGCGCCAACACATATCCAGAGAACGCCAGCGGGTTGAACTAGAAAGAGTGCGAGTCGAATCTTCAGGAGACGAGAGCTGGACCGAGAGCAACCCAGAAACCCCCCGGCCCTCGAAACGAGCAAACGGCGGACGCTTCCCGGTGCGACCCAGCTTAGGCAACATAGAGGGCTTCTCCGAACCCAAGCCTGACTCTCCCGGACATTCCATTCCACCCATACCAGCTCGTTCCCACTTTCGCGTTGCGTCTACGACAAGTAACGGTGCCAGTACTGGCATTACTGTTACCAAGAGGCCCCCGGTCGCCCCCTTAATCTTGACAAACGTAAACAACGAGCGCAACCGTAGCCAGAGCGAAGGCTCCGGCCCCTCGTCGCAGCGCCAGAAGCGTATGGGCATTTACACCAACAAGACGTCTGAGCTGGCATCAGTCAACGAGCTGCGACAAAGCAATCATTTCCGCGGCTTTAGTCAGGGTGTCCTGGTTCCTGCTAATGCTGCTTCAAACGGTTTCCCTGCATCTGGAGCCTACGAAGACACTGGCACCGTCCGATATCTCGCAAACCGTCCCCTGTCTGATGTCCGTGAACATCGACGTGGGTCACGTGCGCCTGATATTGTTGTTGAAGCGGCAAAAAACTTCCTCTATGCTATTTCCCAGCTCCACGATTGTGTCTCGCACATGGTGCGCTCAATTAAGCTGACAGCTAAGACCAAGGAAAGTTTGCGCCGCAAAGAAGACTTCTATCGCAGGTACTCAACTACCTATCTCAATATTCGAGCACTTAACGAGGTCCTACATAAGTTTGACACACTGGTCGAAGAGGACGAAGAAGAGGCGCAGAAGCTGTCGAGAAGTGTGTACATGTACGCGCTAAGGTGTCTCGACTCCTTCATGTCCATTACTCTTTCGGTCGCCGAGAATCGCATCGAGATTGCTCAAAATGCGAATGCACGTATCATGCGGACCTTTGTACTGCTCCAACAAGGAAGTTTGATCGAGATGAGGAATGCTTGTTCAATACTAGGTGCACAGTTCAGAGACACTTCTGCTGCAGCAACGAGACCCGCTGGTGCCGATAACCTTGCCACAGTACGCGCGCGGCCGTCGAGAGCTCGTCGCTTCCCGACATCACCACCACAACAGCGGAACGGATGGCAAATGCCCCCACCTGTCATTCTCCACAGCAACGAAAATAGCCGGTCAAACACCTTGACAAGCATTGGGGCCGCAACCCCTCGCTCAGGAGGCTCCTTTTCTACCACTGCGCCAGGCATGACACGATCCAATACGCTTACTAGTAGCTTTGATGAAACGGACGAAGACGCCCAGTTTGACAGAATCTATACAAAGCTCCGAAATGCATCTGAAGGCTGCAGAAACTCCATGGCTCAGATCACGCGCATGATGCGAGAGCAGTTTGATAGTCTGCGGCGTGATCTCGACTCTGAGGACCCTCGAATCAAGGCACTAGCGAACCTCATTGACAAGAGCAACGAAGTCCAACAAATGGCAAACCCTCTTGCAATTCGCCTATCACAGATGCAGCTCAAAGACAATTATACCCGGGATCAGCCTGAGTTTTGGCAGCAATGTATGGGTTTCGTCAAGGTATGTACAATCACGCCTACACAAGGCCAAGCTGTTAAGACTGGCAACTAACACAATCATTGCAGGCTTGGCAGGAACTCGCTGCAGCATACACCCAGCAGGGCAGAGAACACAAACTACTCACTAGCGAAGTCAAACAGCTCATGCGGCCGCTTCACAAGATGGTCAAAGAAGCCAGTCTGGCTATCAATGACAGTCCATGGTCACACCTTACCAGTAACAACATCGGTTTGATGGGTCCACCGAGCCTAGCGTCATTTACATCACGGACCCAACCACCCAAGGTTCTACATAAGCCCAATGGAACCATGTCGTCGAGTGGCGGACCATCGTTCCCTGGCCCAATCAACACGGCAATACCTGCAATGGCATCTGTCTTCTCTGGACAGCCTTACTCCACGGCGAGCTTCGGATCGCAGGGGTCGGGCGGGTATAGTACACCAGTTCCTGCGACGCCGTTGAGTGCTGCGTTGGGTGCGGCAGCTCAAGCAACCATCCCGAATACACCCAGGATGCCTTCACAAGGTTCCAACACACTCAACGTCTTTGAGCGTGCTGATCGCCTATTGAGTCAGACAAGCCGGCGCGTGTGATTATGCTCGATAAGGGTTGAGGGTGGATGCTGTCCTGCTCCAAATCACGGTAACTGCTAAATGTCCGCTCTTGGGCCGCAGCATACGGGAGTTCGCACATCCAGGTTTCACACCTAACATCAGTAAGCTATGTATACACTTCCTTTCTATTATGCTTTCCCTGCTTGCCTAAAACTGGTTTTCGGCTATCTGCACAATATTAGCGACGGCGTTTGTCCGGATTTCACTCCTTTTCTTGTTCTGTCTTACTGCGCATGGATAGCATCTTGCAAATTTGCATACCGGGGAACACGGCGTTTGAAGTTTTGTGTTTTTATTTCGTCGTTTGCATGTACTAGGCGTCTTTTTGCTTGATTGAATATGGGATTTTTTTTTTGGCGGGTGGGTTAGTTGGTGGGAATGGCAAAGCTGGATAGATGGGGGCACTGGTGGAGTTGACGTGATTGAATGGGCTATGCATGGGATGTGCATTTTAATGTTTTGTATGAAATGGCAGTAGTCATGGGGGTGCGTGGGTGGGACGTCGGACCATACGTATAGATTAAAAGAGGAATTGCTGGCATTTCTTCTTAATTAAAAGTCATGAATGGGTAGGGGGGTTATGGACTAGGAAGGAAAATAAGAACAGAGCAGACCATGCATGTGTGTGTTCTCTTTATCTATTGGTGTCGACAAGTGTCCATTGTCCTGATTTCTCTCCAAAAAGGGAAAATACGTGTCCAAAAAAGCAACTTCTCAATAAAACAATTGCTGCTTTCTTTGAAGTTGGGAGTCTCAGCTTCTGTCAACAGTGGCTTCATTTACTTTTGTTCTATGAGGGCCCTTGATTTGACTTTTTCTATCCGTTTGACGTACAGCATATCAGATTATTTTTCTCGAAAAAAAAAGAAACGATTCAAGACGCCCTCCTCCGATCTGGCAGGGCCAGATATCAAAAAGAGGCTTTACAGATAAAGTGCTGGTTCTAGTTGCAGAAAAGTAGACTGCAGCCGCACACCCACAGTCTCTTAGTAACGTGACTTTGTAGGGAACGCCTGTGTTCAGATGGGATGTATCCATAATTCTGTACAGTTCCGAATCCAGGATGAATTGCTTGGTATTATATCATATTTATTAATTTAGCGTACTTTGTGGAACCATCAGTATGGCACATCGAAGTGTGGAGTCCAGGCCGTAAAGTGGTGGATCACAGCCTGGACTGTCTAGTAGTATAATGGGTTAATGTACTATGACTGTGTGGTAGCGGCTCCACCAGTTGAGCAGTTGTTACGTAATGACTATGGGCGATTCACTTTGAGTGTCCACTGCCCTGGTTTGGTTGGTGATATTGAGTGACCGACGTGGTAGTTGCGTTGGCTTCAGTCAGGTTCTCAAAACTGATCATGCATGACAACAATGACCATTGTCCATCGGATCTTGCTAACATCTTGAAAGTGCACTGGTTTCTAGTGCAGACACCGAGTAAGTTTAGAGACGCACAAAGTTACCGGGTGTCTTGCATGTAAATTCCTCGCTGAGACATCCACTTTTGCCTTGCCCCAACCGAAAAAGGGGGTTCGTGCAGAGTGCTCTATCCCGAGACAGATGGCTGTGCAGAATCCAAACCATGTAAGACAAGGGTGTAAATATCTACACCCTGCGTAATTTTGAGGTTGGTGTTGGCGGAAGGAGAAGTGGCCTTTTGCACGCCGTGTAGCCTCGTGGTGCAGGATGTTTTCGGTCCAGCCACGCGTTCCACAGCATGACCGAAGCCGTACTTGATGACCAGTAGAGCATTAGAGCCGCGGGAAGGTTCTGACAGAGTGGACCAACCAAAAGCGAAACAAACAGCAGGGTTCGCCGGAGGACATTTGGCCATTTGGCACCACTCTCAACGGTGTTTTTCGAGGTGTAGATGTTTGCAAACATGATACCCGATGCAATGAACGGCAGGGCACCAGTTGGGTCTGGGAGAAGCAGATCCGGGAACCAGAGCATACCCTCTGTGGCCAGAGTTGGCTCAAACCAGTCGGTGGGAGTCACTCGTGCAACAACTTGGCCCGTTTCTGTCGTCATCCGCGTACTCTCGCCTCTAAAAATGGACATGGTCATACCCAACAATCCGTCCTGGGCGCCACATTTCTGGCGTATAGTCTCGGCCATGGCGAAAAAGATGGGTATCTGCGCCAATGTCCAACTGATCTGACCCGAGAGTGTGACATTCCACCTTTTGTCCAATGCTGATGTGACGTCCTTGACTTCCTTTTTGACTGTAACCAGTGCTTGCTGGGGCGACCGGAAATTACCCCGCTTCAAGATCTCGTCTCGCTTTTGGAAAGCAAGAGCTTGTCGCAACGGGTGAAGACCAATGTATCGTGCCATGAGAGCGCGCGCACGTGTTCCAGCGGTAGTGACAAGCAGACCGCGAGCGATAAATGCACTGAGAGGGATGGCGGCATACCAGGGGACAGCCGTGTGGATCAACGATATCATCTCGTGCGGAAGGTAGAGGATAGTATCAATGATGGGATCCTGCCGTGGTGTCGAAGCATGAAATGAGCGTGCCGAGGGACGACATGGCGAAGCTCTGGATACCAAAACGTTCCTCCGAAGTAATTGGCATGCTGGATGCCGTAGTGAGCAAGAGGATAGCATGGTAGTGTGATGTTTTCACGTCGCGGCATCACAAGAACATGTCGGACTCCCGAGACGAAGATGGCCCCACTACCACTAGCGCCAGGGTCCCATGCTCCCCGGGCCGGCGCCAGAAACCGTCATCCCACCGCATGAACAGCTGCCGGAACTCTCACCCTCCATGGATTGACAGTCCACTGCTCTGACCAATATGAGTGTGCTGCTCATCCTCCTGTCGCTATTTGTGCCTGCACTTGTTGCCGCTCTTTTTCTCTCCCAGACGCTACGCTTTGTTGCGGGACTAGTGGGACAGCATCTCCGTCGATCCTCCCGTACACGACGCGAGCTTTTACTGGCTAGGGTGGCAAGCGAAACAAAAGCCTATGAGGCCGACCTGAAAGACAAGAAGAAGGAGGATGACGACTGGGAACAGGTAGGGACTACGCCTCCAACAAGTGCAGTCAAGGTTGGCCAAACGAACAGCGACTGGGACGGCATCGTGGGCTTCTTTCACCCCTTCTGGTATGCATGACGAGCCTCAGAATATAGGAGCATAGTCGCTGATAGTTCATTTCCATAGCAATGCAGGTGGTGGCGGCGAACGAGTCCTTTGGGCTGCCATTCGAGCACACCAAAAGCGCTGGCCAAAGTCTACTTGTATCGTGTATACCGGCGACCACGATGTTGACAAGGCAGAGATACTCAAGCGAGTCAAGGATCGCTTCAACATCCAACTGTACCCGCCAACCGTCCACTTCCTTTACCTGACAACTCGCGACTGGGTGCTCGCAAGTAGATGGCCACGCTTCACTTTGCTAGGGCAGTCTCTTGGGTCATTGATTCTTGCCTACGATGCCTTCTCGCTCCTCGTTCCAGACATCTTCATAGATACCATGGGATACGCTTTTGCTCTCGGCCTCTCTTCATTCCTCTTTCCCACTGTCCCGACCGGCGCATACGTACATTACCCAACCATCTCGACCGACATGCTCGACTCGCTACAAGTGGGGGGACAGGGCGTTCATGCAGGGACTGGATCAGGATACCGTGGGCAAGCAAAGAAGATATATTGGGAACTATTCGCAAAGCTCTACAGCAAAGTCGGTAGCACCATCGATGTAGTCATGACCAACTCCACATGGACACAAGGTCACGTCAAATCGCTCTGGGGGCCATACCGCAACAAGCGAAGCAAGCAAACTGAGATCGATGTCGTCTTCCCACCTGTCGCAGTTGAAGAAGTCGCAGAAGCCGTCCAAGTCTCCGAGGCTAGTGAGAAGAACCGTGGCCCATACCTCCTCTACATTGCGCAATTCCGACCTGAGAAGAACCACCAACTCATCCTCGAGGCTTTTGCGTCATTTGTGCAATCCAAACCCAAAATTCCAGCATACCACAACGAGATCCCAAAGCTAGTGCTGATAGGCTCGGTGCGTAACTCGCACGATGATGCAAAACGAGTTTACCAGCTGCGACTTCTTGCGCACGAGTTGCACATCAAGGACAACGTAGAGTTCATATGCGATGCGCCATGGCCCCTCATGTTGGACTGGATGCGCAAATCTAGCGTGGGAGTCAATGCCATGTGGAACGAACATTTTGGCATTGGTGTGGTTGAATACCAGGCCGCGGGTATGATTTCTGTTGTCAACAATACCGGTGGCCCTAAGCTGGATATTGTCGTAGAAGTTGACGGAAAGCCTACAGGTAAGTTTTTGTATATGTGATATCAGAATTTTCGTAAGCAAGTTGAATGGTTGTTGACGCGAATTATACAGGCTTTCATGCTACCACTGCACAAGAGTATGCAGATGGCTTCCGCAAAGCCCTGACGCTGTCGCCACAGGAGACTTTGGATATGCGCCGCCGTGCGCGCAAGTCTGCTGAGCGCTTCACAGATAAAACGTTTGCCGATAAATGGACCAAGAACGCAGAGAATTTGGTCGCTCTACAGATTGAACGGACGTCCAAGTGAAGGAGTAAGCTACTCTGCCATCTTTCTACCTTTCCGCAGTCAGAAAAAAACAGGATGTGATTATGGCGTTCGTACTGGACCAAAACTTTTTTTTTTTTTGCATTCTTTCCTTCCTTTTTGATACCACACGTTAGAGTTAGCATTTGGCAAAGGTTGTACCATAGTTGCATGTTTGTTCAAGAGGAAACAAAAATACAGCATTCAATCGAAGCTTCATAAGTTCAATCATCACCTGTGCAACATGGCTCTATAAGACAAATGATCAGAAGAAAAAAGGCAACAGCCCATCAGGACGTTGCAGAATAAAGCTTTTGGTATTCCCTATTCATCCATTCCTCTCCTAATCCAATCGGCAAATAGCCTTGTCTAGATAACATATAAATAGGCCACGAGCAGTTTGCCTTTACACTCCTCTTCTAATTGTTGGCTTTGCAGTAAAGTCCAATGGGTATACAATTCATGAAATGCCATGATTGTTCATCCTGTCTCCGCCGCCTTCCCCTCGGTATCCTTGTTTATCAACAAGTTTTCGCATAGAAAACAAAAGCATTAGGGTAGTCTGAGTACGCCGAGGTGCCCAAAAAAAGACCCCGCAGACCACCGGATTGTGATATGTAGAGTGAAAGAGAAAGAGATAGTTGGTTATCATCGACATCCAAAGAAGAGCAAGAAAGAAAGAGATGATGGTCATTTGCTGAGCCAGCCTAGCCAAACGACACATCGTGCAGTACATGACGGTAAAAAAAAGTCATTTTGATTCTTCGTCTCAAAGACGTTCAAGTTCCTGGAAGCGCTGGACTGGATCGGCAAAAGATCTCGTCAGACCAACCGAGGCCCAAAAGTCGTCGCTAATATCCTCGCGAGAAGCAAGGCGTTCAAGCAATGATCGTGCGTCGCGGAGTTCCTGGTCCAACGGCGTAGAATCGGCCCGTGTGAGCGGGGGAGTCTCTGCCTCACTTGTGCTCGCGGGCTCGTCAGCCGGCCCGTCGAGCTGTGAGGACATCTGAAGTCTTTGCGGCTCTTCTGTCTGGCTGTGTCTCCAGTTGACTCGGCTGTAGTAGTTGTGGACGTAGTCGCTGGAGTCGCGGGACCGGTCAATCACACGGAGCGAGTAGCGGTCTGCGTCTCGGGCTGGAGGGTCGCTGGAGAAGTACGATGGACGCATTCGGCGACGGGGAGCCGTTGAGTTTGAGAGAATGAAGCCATCTCTCGAGCGCTCCCCCTGGGGGCGGCGCATGGGAGCAGGCACGTCTGTCTCTTCCTCTTCGGTATCCGAAGCCGTGTCGTTATCTGAAGTATCGCAAGCGCGCAGGAACTGGTCGTTCTGTGGAGGACTTGGTAGCTGCGAAGGAACTGTAAGGTGGGTTTGTGAAGATGCCGCCGAGTTTGAACTTCCCGATCGCGAGCTTGAGTTGGAGTTTGAGAAAGAGGCTGAGGCTGCAGCTGACGCAAATGACGATGCAGCAGTTGGTGCAACGGGGTCATCAACCACAGTCGTGAGGAAGCTGTCCCAGTGCAGTTGGTCGTCGAGCGGACTGACGCTGCGATTGCGGTCGCCCAAGCCATCAAGAGCAGGCACTGGACTCCAAGACTCACGTAACGAGCTACTGGGTAATGGTCCGTCGGCAATAGTGCGGCGACCCATCCTGCGCAGCGGTGGAAAGGCTACAGCGTTGTTGTCACTGCTTTCGTGGTCTTCCTCGGGCGCATTTGCAGTATCACTTCTTGCCGCAGATCGGTCAGCGCGGGGGCTCCGTGAACGGGTCAATCTCGGAGAGGCAGCGCGACGATACGACGCCCTCTCCCGCATGCGGGAAAACTCTCGCGCGCTGTGCGTCGTGTCTGATTCTGAGCTCTGCGAAGCTGCTGCGGGTGCAAAGCCGGGGGTAAAAACAGCGATGGGGCGATCAGTCTCCAGGGCCCTGCGCGCCGCATATGAACGCATGAATTCATCGAGGCGATTGCGCGAACGATGCAGGGTGCTGTTGAGGCCCAGGGGTGCAGGTGAGTTGGCCGCAGCCTCGTTGCTGCGGTAGTCGGTTCTCGAGAGTTCAGGCACTGGTGGTGGCGCCAGGCGCGTGCGATGCGACGAGCGTGGTATCCATTCGATGACGGGAGCAGAGCCAGAGGTGGCTATGAGGAACTCAGTATCGAGCGTGCCATTCGGTCGTGGCGATCTGTTCGGTCTGACGCGACGGCGAATGGGTGAGCGATGGCCCGTCAAGTCGGCTCTCAGTACATCCTTGTCCTTTGCCTCGTCGCGCTTAATGTTCCATCCGATGGGAATGCCCATTGCGCATCAAAGAGTGGATTGCAAGTGTTTGGAAAAGATGAGTGGAGCTGTGTTGTTGATGGTGACGCGCGTGTACGGGTGGGCTGGGGATGGTCGGAGGAGGGAACTAAGGCGGCGGAGCGGCGCAGGTCGCACCCACCTAAAACAGTGCAGCGGCAGTAAGGCTGAAGCGTCTGGGGATGCGCAGAGAACCGCCGTCAAGATGCAATTGAGCGAACAGGTGCCTGGACAGCCCTCAAATACACAAAATAACAGACCAGTTATATGTATCACCTCGCCATGCTATTCCGATACTCCTTTCACACTCTGCACAGCCCACAGGCTGCGACTGCCTAACAGCTGGTCGTCTCTGGCAGGCGCGATGGTGTTCGCCAAGCCATAATTGCCTCTTGCGGTATAGTCGCTTTTGCGCGCAGCCTCTGGTCCAGTTGCCACAGTGAGTCAACCACCACCTGCAGGAACCTCGTTTCAGACCATCGCCCGTAGAGACGGCCATGATCCAGCCCGGCCTGGGAAGGATCAGCCAGCTCCTGAGGAATGCAGAATTCCCATGGAGGTCGATACACGTTGCTGGAACCAACGGCAAGGGATCCATCTGCCATCATGCCTCGGAACTGATCGTACGTAAGAAGATCACGGTTGGCAAATTCACTTCTCCCCATCTTGTAGACAGGTAGGCACACCGTCGCCTGGCCATTCGTTGTCTAACCTCCGCAGATGGGACTGCATCACCATCAACAATAAGCCCGTTGACGAGTCGCTCTTCCGAAAGGTCGAGAACCATTACCGGGATCTCAGCCAGAGAGATGGCATTCCTGCCTCTCCTTTTGAGATTTTGACCGCTACTGCATTCCACATCTTCAATGAAAAGAAGATCCAAATTGGTGTGATCGAGGTTGGCATGGGCGGCAAAGAGGACGCCACCAACATTCTGAACAACCAAGCAATTTCCGTCATATCAAAAATCGCTCTTGACCACCAAAATTTTCTTGGTGATACTCTCGAAGAGATCGCCCTGCACAAGGCTGGCATCCTCAGACCCAATGTGCCCTATATCATCAACCCGAGGAACGAGAAAAACTTGAAACTCGTAATTGACGAATACGCAGCCACCATCCAAGCAGGCCCACGTCTCACCCACGAACCTTTAGATTTACAGAAGAGCTTGTTCAACAAAAACTACTGGAAAAGATTTACTGCTCCTTTACTACCTATCCAACGCGACAATGTAGTCTTGGCTGCTATTGCTGCCAGGGAAGCTGTGGAAAGCATAGGGCTTAATTTTAGACCTTTTGAAATCGGGCGTTATTCATTAAAGTCACGGCTGAATGTCAACCCTGGCCGCATGGAATTGATCAGAGTGCCAATCGTTTTTGGAGACGACAAAGACTCGCGGGGCCCGCCGATATTAGTCGATGGAGCTCATAATCCAAATGCTGCCAATTTACTCAAAGAATATGTTCGTCTTGTTCACAGTAAGAGTAAGATAAAGGGCGATGGCTTTCCAGGTAAAAATGGATGGCCAATTACCTGGGTGCTTGCTATGACTGAAGGCAAGGATGCACACGAGTACCTGAGGATACTACTGCAGCCAGGAGACACTGTCGTCACTACGACATTCGGTCCAGTCGATGGCATGCCTTCAGTGAAACCAATGGATCCAACACAACTACTTGAAATAGCAAAGTCTGTACAACCTGGGGTTACAGGAATGGCGATGCCGAAACAGGGTGCGCTGCGAGCACTGTGTGCAGCGAAGTTCATCTCAAAAAGACACCGGCCTGTGGTATTGACAGGCAGTCTGTACCTTGTTGGTGACTTCCATCGTGAATTCCGATCGCGGCGTGGCAAATTTTACATGGAAGATCCAGAGTTCGCATATGACCGCGGACTTTTCAAGGCCATGGTGAAGGAAGAAGAACAGAGGGCCAAAAACTGGTTTAGCGGTTATCCTACAAACATTGACAGTAAAGCCAGCGCCAAAGATGAGAAGGTGCATGCAGAGTGGAACAAGCAAATTGCCAATCGGGAAAAGAAGAGAGCTATTCAAGAAGAAATAGAGGCCCTCGATCGAGAAATGGAGCTGCTTGCAGCAGAGGAGCAGCGTATTGGGCATCGAAAGTCTCCAGACGCTGAAAACCTTGGCGAGCCAGCGGATTCAGAAGGCGCTACATCTACTGATGAGCTTGAAACCTCGACAGAGGAGCATGATGACAATGCAGATGAACTTGGTGAGTCAATCCAACCTTGCAAAGAATCACGCACTCATAGTCACATAGTCCAGGAAGATGAGACAAAACGTGAAAATGACCAAACACCAGAACAAAGTACAAGATTGAAAGTTTGAAAGGTCATTTAGCCGGGCAGAACGGTAGATGAGTTTTCCGAAGTCCAGACACTTTCCGAAAAGAAGTGATGTGATCGATGAAGAGGCGGAGCAAGAAGATGTCTATTGTGCGTCACAAGATCATGGCTATCCGAAGAGGGGGCTCAGTTACCCAGCCAATTTGGATGAAGGAGGGAGAGACTTTCCCGGTATGTTTCAAAGACGGACGACCCTGTCGGTGACCCATAAAATAAAAGGCTTTAGCATTACATATGCCCCAAGACACTTGTCCTCCTGGTACTGTGAACATAGAAGAGAATGCCTCCGAGCCAAGGCCGTAACAATACCCACAGACAGCGGTTCATCTTCATAGTTTCAACGGCCACCATTGTCAAAATAAGCCACACTCCCGTCCGGGCGGCAAGACCTGCATACATGTATGGGGCCCGAGATCACGTCGCTTGCTGCAGTGTGTGTAGAAGTAGCAGGTGTGGCGGCAGCACCTCGGACAATAATGCAAATAATGCCCCAGATTAATATGACCCTGCTTTCTTGCCCATGAATCAGATCCACCCGAATACCTACATTCAATCCTTTGAGGCACAAAAAGCAAGTCGGGGGAAAATACCGAATGGCCTTCATGTGATGGATCTGCTAACCGCCATGCACACATCACTCCAGGGAGTCTCTCCAAGATTGGCCGAGTGTAATTGCGTCCTCATCCTTTGGCACATCTTCTCACACACTCCCGCCTCCAATCCTACGTCAGCTTAAACGATGTTCTCCTGGAACTAAGATGCGGCCCAGGCCCAGAGACATAAGTATGCGTTCCAAGTTTCTCAAGCCTCAGCCGCTCTCCCGATAGGATTGGGTCCAGGATCATGGCCATAAGACCGCTCGGGTCTTTGCTCAGTCAACATGAAGCCAAACTGGGCATGATCGCCTGCCAGTAGGATTGGCCCGACTGGATCCTGAGCATCCCGTGCCTTGGCGCTGCAACATCCTCCCGTTTCGGGGGGGCCCACTTCCAAGCACCATAATCTTGGCCTCATCACACAAATGCGTGGGGTCGTTCTCAGTCACCACGCTACTGCTACTGCCCTCTAGGCTATGCAGTTTCGGAAACACCAAAATTGAGTCTCCTGAGGTCATACAGAAGATGTGAAAAGTATAGAGAGTGCTTGTTGTTGCTGTGTAAATGACATATCATCTCCATGTGATCGATGCATTCTTCAGTAAGCAGTGCGCGAATTGGCAAACACGCCAACTCGAAGATTTGTAACGCGGTTACTTGTCGGCGCACTTATCGACCTGTTCACAGTGGTAAAAACTCATCCCCAGGCTCCTTCGAACATCCTAGTCACTTCCGTCGCAAGCCCTGTTCACCTCCCTCGGTGTTGCAGGCCATCTAAGAAATGCCGCTAGGGCTTAGGACTTGCTTTTGGTTGGTCCGCAGATTACACGGAGCATGGTATTTCACCCCCTACATGATACATGGCTGATAGAAGAAGAAAAGGTTGGTAGGTGCAGAGAGGCTCTGGAAATGTCCAGTACAGTTTTGCATGGAGGAATGGAATAGTCGCTTGTTCAAGGTGCAGATCGAGCCGCAAACCGCTATAGTCGAGGGGTGTTTCAGGGAATGATCCCTCTCCATTGTCGCTTCTTAGTATTGGGCTTAGCACCTGATCATTTGATGCCGTCTATGTAGATAGTGGCTGCCCGTTTGGCCGGCTTTCACAAAAACCACCGTTCTTTACTTCGTATTATGTCCTTGCTTTTCCATTTTGTCTAAGCACTTATTGATTATTGCAGCGACGACCCGTCTTGCCATCCGCTGAGCGGCTTCTTTGTATCCTCCATCATATCTCATCCAGGCTGCACTGCGATAGTCACCATGAACCATAATTACTCAAAGGACTTAATGATTGGTCTGGCGATCGCTTTCGCCATTCTACCAACCTTTTTTGTCGGCTTGCGCATATGGGCGAAGCGGATATCTAAACGCATTGGATGGGACGACTTCCTCACATTAGGTGCATTGGTAAGTACATGAGCGGAGAGTACATGCATGCAAAGATAGCCAGTTAACTAAGTTCAGGCGGTCTGCTTAACATGCTGTTTTCTACAACTAGCCAGTGAGTAAATTTGATCAACCCCGCAGATAGCCATTAACTTTGCGAAAAGCGGCGATACATGGCTACTTGGGTGCCCACCAGCCTCTTGACGAGAATGGCCAACCAATTATGGACGACCCTGGATTAATATTCTTTGAGAGGGCAAGTTGGATTGGGGATTGCGTAACTCTTTGTGCTGACAGGTCTCCAGACAAAATTTGCTATCAACATGATCTCCATTGTTGGACTCGGACTCGTCAAGTCGTCAATCCTAATCCTATACAAGAACATCTTCGACGTGCGAAAATTCCGTATTTGCGTATACATCGTGCTTGCGTATGTGGTAGGCTGGACCATCAGCTTCACATTCTCGCATCTGTTTACGTGCTACCCTATCACCGTCTTTATCGAGCCTTACTACGGGAACAGCTGCGTTGAAACCGTACCAATGTTTTTGGCACTACTTGTGAGTCACTTACGACACGATCTACTTGGTTCCTCCACGCGAAGGACCGGTTCATGTCCGGTTGAAATTGCGACTTCAGAACCTATGCTGACCGGTGCTGTAGTACACTGACGTTATAGCGGACCTTGCTATCCTCTTCCTTCCCATACCCATGGTCATGAGCGTGCGCATGAAAATGAAGAAAAAGATGGCAGTCATAGTGATGCTTTCGTTGGGCGCGGCGTAAGTCATTTAATCTTGCAAGGACGAAGAGCCATGGCATAACTGACAAAACAGTGTCTGCGCTGTAAGCATCACCCGAGTTGTAGCGACGTACTCAATAGCAAAAGAGTACATCAAACACCCCGACGATGTCATTTACTACACAGCCCCCGTATTCTTCTGGACGAACATCGAGTTATCGCTGGGCCTCGTGTGCGCATGCTTGCCCACTCTACGCCCCATTTGGTTCTTCTTCTACCCGAAAGAAGAGACACGGACTGGCTACGGCTACGGCTACGGGTCTTCAGGACGTGGTTATGGATCGTCGGGCTTGCATGGCACGAAAAACAGCTCGTTCAGTGCCAAGTTGGCACGTAAGCCCTACCAGTCAATTGATGAGATGGGTACGTAATGCAACTCGACAAGACTATGCAAGTAACACACGGGCTAATGCCACGCAGAGCTAACAACACGATCTGAGGAGATTCTTCCATCATCGGCAGAACATGATTCTCCAAACAGCACCGACGAACAAGGGATCAGGAAGGAGGTCACTATCCATCAAACCCTTGAATGATAAGTCCGAAGCCAGTTATATCGTGCTGTTACGATAGTCTTAGATACCCGAGCAGTGACATTTAGCGCATTGGCTTTTGTAATAGTATGTCGCTGCGTCCATTCCATACGCCACGGATTAATCTTCAAACGGGTAGTCTGCTGCCAGAACGTGACAGGCACACTAACTGGTGATTGGCGGGTGGCGTTCCCAGCTACATGGTTCACTCGGCCTTTTTTCAACCACGCCACCACCTGCCCCCCTTCACCCCCAACGCCAAGTCATGAATGACACGCCGTCTTTCCCTTTTTCCGACAGGATGTTTCAGGGAATACTCTGCGTCAATGTAACCTCAGTTACGTACCATTATCAAGATATCTGATCCCGATTACACAAATCACGGACCCCACGCAGCTCCGCCCCACAGTGCCGCTCACGTTATAATGAAACTGCTGCTACAACGAGGATCTTGTGCATGCTAGCCCTGCTCAATTCTAGCCGTGGGGCTCTCGAGCGGCACATGGGCCGGGGACGAGCCGGCAATGGAGGTGGGGGAGCGTATCGGGAGCGGCTTGCTCCAGAGGGCGAGGTCCTTAATGCGGCTACATCCGCGGGCGTCGGACTAAGTAAGTGCCATTGAGCATACATATTAATAAATTAACCCATGTCTTGCACAACGGCCATGATTCCCAGATCTAGGCCAGCGTAGTTCGACATGCACCTGTTCGCTAGCGACAATGAGATTTTGCCGACTCGGTCGTCAATGCAAAGCGGCAACGTCTATTGCGCAGTGCTCGCAGCTCGCGGCTCAAAGAGGATTGCATTTCGGCATGCACGCTTACCGAGTAGAAGGCCTAATGGAATTAAAAAGCCGTTGAGCCGTCTACCATGGATTCGGCACCGACTACCTTGTTCCTGTCGCCATGAAGGTCTTGTCACTCTTGGTTTCCTTCGCTGCCGCGGTATCTGCGCTCGCCCTCAAGCAACGCGATGTCGCATCCGACTTGAAGAATCTGGTCCCAGGATCTTCGGTCAACGTCCAAGTGAAGGCACGATGGAGTGACTTCAACACACCCTTGCCTTCTGTCACTGTCACTGTGCAGGCTGAAGACGATATCGCGAAAATCGTAAGTTCTACCCGCCAATGGGCCTTTGCAGTGGCTAACATGCACCCGAGGTCAAATACTGCACAAAGGCCGGGATATCGTTTCTGACACAGAACGGGGGAATTGGATGGGGCAAGACCTTCAAGTTGGGCGAATGGGGTGTTCTTATTGATCTTGCTGGCATGAACAGTGTCACCGTGGCTGCAGACAAGAACACTGCGACTATTGGTGGTGGCGCAAGCATCGGAGATGTCATTGCGGCAGCTGATGCTGCAGGTGCTCTGGTTATTACAGGCAACTGCAACTGCGTTGGCGCCCTGGGAGCTATGCTTGGTGGTGGTTATGGTGCGTTTGTTTCGATCAGCCACATGAAGAGAATTAAGCTGACTGGTATCTAGGCAACCTAATGGGTGAAGTCGGTTTCGGAGTCGACAACATCGTTTCTATGCGCGTCGTCACTGCAGCAGGTGAACTGCTCACTGCATCAGCCACATCGAATCCCGACCTTTTCTGGGCGCTTCGCGGAGCAGGACCAAATTTCGGTATCGTCGTTTCCGCAACCGTCAACGCGAGGCCAGCAACGGCTGAAGACCGCACCGCCTTCATCAACAATCTCTTCTTCTCACCTGACAAGCTAGAGCAAGTTGCACAAGCAGTCGAAGATCTCCCTCTCACCCCAGAACAACGCGTCTACCTCGTCTTGACATCTGGCGGTCCACCACTCAACGAACCATCCATCCTTGTAACCGGTTTCCTCCGCAAGGGCACACTTGAAAGCGGCCGCAAGGCCTTCGCCCCCTTCTACGATCTGGGCCCTCTATCAAACTCCAGCATTGTCACCACGTATGACCACTGGAACGACGCAAACATTGGCTTCTGCACCCGCGGCGGCCGCAAGCCCGCATTCAGTTCCACACTCAAGGGCATGAACGCCCAGAAGTGGCCGCAGATCTGGGACTTGTACAAGGGCTTCCAGGCCAAGGGACCAAACTCCGCCATGCTCGTCGAGCGCTACAATCTAACCAAGGCTCAATCGGCGCCCGTTGGCTCGGTCGCCTTGAATGAAGCACTCCGCCGCGATGCATTTGCCCAGGCTCTTGTCATCCCATGGTATGACGACGCGAGTTTGGATGCTGAAGCGTTGGATTTTGGAAGCAAGGTTAGGGCGCTGTGGTCAAGAAGCAGCGACCCCAAGAACGATCCTACGTAAGTTTAACTTCCCGTTTTCCATGGCTAGGAGAGAGTGGTTGGCTAACAGAATTTGTAGATATCCTAATTTCGCATTTGGTGACGAGACTAACAAGGCTATTTATGGATCTAGCCTTCCGAGGTTGCAGACGCTGAAGAAAAAGTATGATCCCAAGGGACAATTTAACCAGTGGTTCCCGATACAAGTATAGGCACCAGTTATCGGGTCACCTTGACTAAAACTACCTAATTAATAAACAATCCAAGTATATTAATTCTGCAAACATTAGGATTGTTCCCTCTGTTCCAGACATTGTGTTCCCAGAGTACATTGATTGTACTCGTGACGTCATGTTTATTGGACCGTAGTCATTTTTGGACTTTGAATTGCTAACTGAATGCTCATCCCAATTTCTCCCGGTGTCCCTGCGCTTCCCTAGAAAAGTAGGTAGATAGCAAGTTGATCAAGAGTGAAACCTGTGCTATGGCGGACATCGGTAAACTCGTTCCTAGGAGCTTTCTATCGCGTGCTTCTCGTCGTATACATGATTCATAATGTCCGCTCAGCCCCTAGCCTTGCATCCTGGCTTTTGGTCAAGGCATGAAGGTTCGTATGTCCGAACATCTTGTAATGCTGTATGAAAATATCTGTCTCAAATCCCAGAGGCATTTCTGGCGCCTAGTATTCATCGATTGGGAAATGGATGAATCCCTGATATCACATAACAAAACTTCTCTTTCCTCAGAAATTCCTTTAGGCGTTCAATCCTCCTCCTCCACCAGCCTCTGCACCTCAAACACCTGTTCGCCAAACGCATTCCTAAATGCCGGAATCTTCTTCCTCGTCATCCAAACCGTCAGCACCGGCACCTTCTTCATCTTCACCTCATCTTTCTCCTTCTGCGCTCCTCGCCCATCCACGTCCATAGATTCAAACGCCTCCTCTTCCTCCTCACTCTCTATCTCTTCCGCCTCTTTCTTCTTCACTTCCATAACACTCGCTTTCCGTTCGACATCGATGCTCGTAAGCATCGTATACATAGCCCACGTCTCCACCACCCCATCCCCAACCTCCTCTTTGCTACTAGGCGCGACGATCCTGCGGACCATGTCTATGATACCAACCAATTTCGTCGTTCCTTCGCCTTGCGCTGAGACTGCTATGACAACGTCATCTCGCTTTAAAGCGTCGGGCATGTCGATGGTAGATGCGGGATCATGGTAGGCACCCAAGTAGGTTTTGAGGCGATTGATACCAGACTTTACATTTTGATTCTTGGAGAAGACGACGGGAACAATGTTTTGGATGGCTTGCAGTTGTGTCTGGGATTCGACGAGCTTGAATAGGTCTGGTGGGAGGCGGGTCCAGGGTTCGTAGAGAGATGGGTGGATGGTATGTGGGGAGACTTGTTGGGATTGTTTCTTTGGAGCGGTGCCTGAAGTGCTATTTTGGGCTTTTCGCTTTTTGGCGGGGTTGGAATCGTTTTCTGGGGCACCGATGATGGGGAGTGTAGGGCCTTCGCTTGAGTAGGGTGGTGTTGCCGTGATTGTGGTTGTGTCATTGTCTTTTTCTGATGACGCAAAGATCTCGCTCATACGCTTTGGTTTGGCCATATTTACTACTTTTCGAGTTTTTCTGGGAAAATCCGGATCTATCTGACATGAACCTCCGAGGGTTTTGGGGACTCCACAGCAAACGGCGCAGGGACGAAATTTGGGGAAGCTCGACGCGCCAAAATCTCAGAGACGCGCCGGAGATAACACGCCGCATGTTCTTATCGCCGAATGGCGGCACATGCATACATCATCCCATCTAGTCCCCAGACTAATATTACCTACTTTGTCATTTCTCTGGTCCTTTATGAAATAAAATAAGCACAGTGACTTGAGATTCTCCCAGCACGTCATGAACGATGTAGAGTCCGAATTCTGCATCTCCGCAGGCGTCGCCACACAGACTCTCCCCCAAGACTACTCTTCGTATGTGACTTCAAAAATACCAACAAACTCAACCCCGTAAAACCACACTCAACTAATACCACCTCCACACAACAGAAACACCATCCCGGCCTCAAGCCTTCTGAGTCTGCCAGCTGAGCTCCGTCTACTAATCTACGAACACACCTTCACCCACCAAACCATCCACGTGCACCCAAAATCCTACTCCTCCCTCGGACTCAACTCCCCCTTACACCCATATGGGGCCCGAAAATACCAATCAGTAATCGCCCTTCTCCTGGCTTGCAAAACAACCCGCAAAGAGGCAACTCCAACCTTCAACGCACTCGTCACTTTCGACCTAACACCCTACTACAACTGCATGGCCGCAGCATACGAATTGGGACCCGACATATGTCGGAGTATTAGGAGTATATGCGTGGATCCGAGGCTGGCGAAGCGGTTGGCGGTAGGGATGCAGCAGGGTGGTGTGAAAGAGACGGGTTATCGGGATTTGCTGCCGGCATTGCGGTATGTGTATGTGAGTGATAGCAGTGTGGTGTTTGGGGTGTTGGCGGTGAGTCATGATTTGGCTGTTAGGGCGCTGCGGGTGTATTTTGGGTGGGAGGGGTTGGAGGTGCGTTTTACATGATGATTTTGAGCAGACATAGTGCTTGATTACGCTACGTTGGATTATACTTTTTTTTTTGCGCAAGGGGTTTGGCGGCTAGGGGTATATATGTAGATACAACATGAGCCTGCTATCCGAATCACGTCAAAAGGAAACTTCAAGCAACCAAATTTCTCAAGCTTTCCGATAAATAGCAGCATCAATCCCCACCGCCGCACTCATAACTTTCTTCGTCCACTCGCTCACAGGCTCAAGCGCCTTGACCGTATCCCCCAGCTCATTACTCTCGTTGAATTCATGAATAGCCAAGAACGACAGCTCCTTCTCTTTCCCATCACCGCCCTTCTGTGCAACCAACGAATACCGACACGTACGCAGCCAACCAGGCTCTTTCGACATCTGCTCATTATGCTCATCGCGGTACCAAGCATCCAGGTCCGCAGCACCATCCGGCCCAGGCTGCATGAGCGCCACAAGGAGAGTGTGGGCGGGATTATCTTGAAGACGAGGGGGATGCAAGTTAGTAAATGTTCTAAAAGTGCTTCAAAAACCGCCACTAATCCTTCTTGTTTTTTACCATTCCACTTTCCCCCCCTCCTTTTTTCTTCACCCAACCGCAAGAAAGAAAAGATAACCTACCCCTTCCCACCTCCTTCCCCCTCTCCTTCTCATAGACCTCCACCTCGCTAAACCCCCTAACATCCGCCTCCCCNCCTTCTTGTTTTTTACCATTCCACTTTCCCCCCCCCCCGTCATACCCAACCACCCCCAAGAAAGAAAAGATAACCTACCCCTTCCCACCTCCTTCCCCCTCTCCTTCTCATAGACCTCCACCTCGCTAAACCCCCTAACATCCGCCTCCCCCTGCACCACCTTCTCACCCGCCCAAAACTTAGCCACCTGCTCCACATTTACGTGCTCGACATTGTCCATTAAGCTAACGAGAAGATGTTGTTTGGGGTATGAGGGGTTGGCTGCTTTGTAGAGGGTTGAGCGGGTTGTGCCGAGGACGTGTGATGTGAAGAGCTGGGGGAGAAGGGCGAATTCTGTACTATCTTTGCTGTCTGGGGAGGAAGAGGAAGAAAATGTAGGTTGGATGAAGGACAGGATGAGGCCTGTGGTGGTGGTAGTGGGGGCAGAAGCCATTGTTGGAATATGGGAGAGGATAAGGGTGATTATGAGGGGTGTTGAGCGGACTTTAATACTGGTATTTTGTATGCGTGAGATCGTTAGTAAAGAAGAAATAAGTAGTAGGATGGTTAGTTTATTCGAATCTCATTTGCTGCTGTTAGTATGTAATAGCGAAGCAGGACGCCTTGTCCCCACTTTAACCGGATTAGTTTTTCCGGGAAAAGGAATAATTGAGACAGACAGCATGTATGCCAAACATTTGTAATGAGGTCGAAGCAAGAAATGCAATAGATGGAAAGTAGTAATCTTATTAAAAAGCTTCTCTATGAGTATCGTGTCTAACTGTTTACAAATACATCTAACACCAAGACAGCTTCATGACATAACGTTATCTACAACTTGCTCTTTTCAATACGCTTGAACAAAACATCGCTCTCAGGGTATGGGTCGACAGTAATGTCGTTGAGGGGGTTGAGCTCGCTGGCCCTGTAAAACATATCCTCGTACACCTTTCCGTCTGCGCGGCCCAGACTGCTGTCCAGGACCCAGTCGTCGAAGCCCCATGCGTCGACGAGCCTGACAGCGTGTGGTCGGATGTCCTTGAGCAACTTCATAACAGTGTTTGTCCTTGCAAGCATGATTTGGATCTTGCTGCAGGCACCCGAGGCGTAGAACTCGGAGCCTTCTTGCTCAAGTGTGTGCAGAGCGAAAAGGCGGAACAACTTCATGAGGACTTCAAGAAGGTTCTTGTCAATCTTGCCCTCCTGCTCAATCTTCTTGAGCGTAGAGAGGTTAGTCTTGACGACCATATATTGAGCGTGAGCCTTGCTGAGGCGGTAGAAGTCAACGAGAAGGTCGTTCCACGGCTTCTTCTGCTCATCACGGTGCTTGCTGGCCTCGAAGGCAAGGAAAGAGACGCGCCAAGCGAAGGCAGCGACAAGATCCTCATCTGAGCCAATGATATCGAAAGCGCAGCCAATGTTGCGGCGAGCGTGGAACTCAGAGAGAATCTGAGTGGTGTCGTTTGTGGGCTTCTCCTTGTTGAGGATGGAGCGGACGGACTTGAGCATCTGTAAAGAATGTCAGTAAGATGCGGCCTTTATCAAAAGGGATGAAACTTACGTAGCGAGCTACTTGCTGTGTCAACATGTAGTTGTCACCTTCCCAGGTAGTGGTAGGGAGGTAATCAGAGTACCAAGGTCCGATACCGCTGAAGCTAGAGTAGCCGTGACCACCGCAGGCACGTCGGCAGACCTCAAGACCCTCACAAGCGATGGAACTGCTGAGTGACTTGAGCGCACAAGATGAAGCGTGGAGGTCCGCTAGCATATCACTGCCAGACTGAACTTCCTCAGGACCGGCACCGCGGTTGCTTGGTGCGTTGCTTGCATTGCCCTGTGCAATCTTCTTTTGGTTCTCTTGGTACATATCCATCATCGCTTTTCCTGTGAAATGAAGGGCGAAAGTTGCTGCAAGGAGGGGCAGCAGACGGATCTGGACCATAGTGTAGTTGAGAACGGGGGTCTCAGCCTCACCAGCAGGAGCATCGCGATCCTGGAACTGACGACGAACGGCACAGTAACGAGTTGCAATAGTCACACCACGAGCGAGTACGCTACCGGCTTGCATGACGATCGTCGATCGAACCCAAGTTAGGGTACCGTAGACGAGAGATGGTGAGCCACGGCGACCAAACTTGTTGGTGGTGGGATCCACGTGCGTGTAGCGAGCCAACATGCTAATATGGGGAACCTTGACCTTGTTAAACAGAAGGAAACCGTTGTCCATGGTATTGTAGCCAAACTTGGGGCCAATGTCTCCAATGTGGATGTTCTCGAGCGGCTCATGTGTTTTCAGGTCTCGGATCTGGACACAGAATGGGGTAGGTCCGTAGGACTTTCCGTCAATGATAAGTTGAGCCATGACGACGGCGTGGTTGGCCGTCCTTCCCAACGATCCAATCCACCACTTGCTTGCTGTCAGGTGTGGTGAGTGGATGGTGAAGGTCTTGTCGTCCTTATTCCAGGTAGCTGTTGTTTCAAGCCCACGAACGTTGGAACCGTGGCCGAGCTCAGTCTGAGCATAGCAACCAATGATCTTGTAGTCGTTGGCCTTTGTGAGCCACTTTTCCTGCTGTTCGGGGGTGCCTTGGCCTTCCAATGTCACCTGTGTACTGTTAATGAATGGTCAATTCGATTGGCGAAGGAGACATGCCTTGAACATGGAGTCGTGGAGACCATATGGACCAGGCTCGCCAACGAGCTCCATAGCCATTCGGAATTCCTCGAGATTCCAGTTGTGCTGCTTCTTCAAGATCCTCAACCTCTTCTCTCTTGCAAGAGCACGCTCGAACCTGTCTATCCTACCCATGAAGTAGTTCTGGGACTTGTCAAAGACCTTCTCGGACTTGAGAATGTCGAGGATCTTGTGCCTCATGGCGATGACTTCTTGAGTGTGCAGAAGGACCTCCAGGTCCTGCACCGGCACGTTTGAGCCGGCGCGTTCCGCTGCGAGCAATTCATGCCCTTGGGCGCCCGAAGGCTTGAGCTGCTTGACCCAGTCTGGGGTTTGCTTCATTGTGATGAGTGAGTGATGGTTGAGTTCGTGGGGAAGGAAAGTTGTCTGGGGGAATGAATAAGTATGGGTTACGAGGTGAGCCTCGGCTGTCGATCGGTGCCCAGAAGGTCCATGACGCGCTAGTCCAAGGTCCGAGGTTTATCTTCCGCACGAGGCGCGCGTCAGGCCCGATTGCGATCAGATGAAAGTCCGAGAGGTGAACATGACTGGAACCAGAGCCATAGAATGACTTGTGTCTGCGCTCGTGATAATGCAGATGTTGTAGGTGCCGCTAAGCCCAGAAGCCCAGCCTTGCGTCAGATGAAGACCCTACTTTGACCAATGGGGCATCTGGGACGGATTTGGCCCAGGCGATTGGTAGAAGCGAGCTCTTGGAATATCGACCCGACAGTGCAGAGTCGGTACGGGCTCCCCCGAGACCGGTCGTATATGTATGCAGCCATGTACGGACAGATTTCGAGGTCGCGCTCACATGTGTAGGTAGATACAAACTAAGTACACAGGCATACCTGCCTGAACAACGATGGCACCCATCAGCAAAGGTACAACAAGCCTGGGGCTAGCGCGTGTTCCCTCGACCTCTGTCATGGCAACCTGGTGAGACGTCGATGGGTACGACGATGCTGGTCGAGACAGCCGCCGCCCCGCCGCAAGCGAGCACCGCCTTGCCAGAAGGGTGCCCAAAGCGAGTGTAGCAGTATGCGCGTGTCTCAAGTAGAGGTGAGTATGGGCAGGGAGCATGTAGTAAGTGCTTGTTGGAGCCATTGGCCCCTCTGCAGGCCTACCCGACGGACTACGCAACGGACCCCGACGCGGCATGTGGACCCTCTGGGAGTTCCGGACTGGCGGTTGACCGTGACGAGCAAAAAGAGATTCCTTTCTCGACGGAGCAAGCCGATAAGGATGGCCAGGCAGAGCGACAGTACTGCTGTCTGTGTGTGTGCGTGTGTGGCACGCGAGCTCCTGCAAGCGTGCGAGGGACAAAAGCAAGCGTCTCTGTGCCGGTTGCCTGACGAGCCGTTGCGGTGCACAGCCTCGAGGCGGCACAGAAGACGACGGACCAGGCCTAGGCCAGCGCGTATTTGCAGGCTGAAGCACGAGGCATCAAATCAGTCGTGCACAACAAGAGAGCTGGTGGGGAACAACGGCACAGAGAATGCGCTCCCCGTCGTCATCGCGTTTGGCCTCGAACAAACAGCCACAGCCCCTAGCGTGCACGGCCTTGCTGGCGGCTGTCAGGTAGCGCAGCGTCACTTTCTTTGCCTACAACACCAAGCCGACCTGTTGAATTTCCCTTTCCCCCCTCTGCGAGCTAGAGCACGCAATTCTTCTTCCCTGTCCCTCTGGCCCGGACTTCATTTCTGCTCCACCGCACGGCACTAGACGCCCTCCTGTCTGGCCCTACGTCTACACCTCTCCCGAATTATACCCCCACTCACCACCCTCGACACTGCCTGCAATTCTATGCTCCCGGCCACGACCCCGGCGACCCTCAGATTCCGCTTCCTCTTCTCCCACCAGTCCTCCTAGATACCGGACAAGATGGGCCAGACACTCTCCGAGCCCGTCGTCGACAAGGTAATTGCCTCCCAATGCTGCCGCCCACCCCCGCCCCCGCACTCTGTCCTTCTTTCCACGCCCCCCTTAAACCGTGGCGACAGTCGCTTTGCATCGCCCGGCCACGGCGCGCATGCTGTGTTGCCTGGCCTGAAATGCTGACATTGCATCTTCCTAGAAATCTGAAAATGGCGAGGGCGAGTCACTCATCTACGGTGTTTCCTCGATGCAGGGCTGGCGCATCAGCATGGAGGACGCACATGCCACCGTATTAGACTTCAATGCCGACGACACCAAGGGCACACCTACCGACAAGCGACTGGCCTTCTTCGGCGTGTACGACGGACACGGTGGTGACAAGGTGGCGTTGTATGCTGGCGAGCAGCTGCACAAGATTGTCGCAAAGCAAGAAGCATTCAAACAGGGAGACATCAAGAAGGCTCTGCAAGATGGCTTCCTGGCAACAGATCGCGAGATTCTGTGTGGTAAGTCGACTGTCAACATCACCCCTATCCATCACGGGCCACCTGACACCTGCCAACAGATCCCAAGTATGAAGAAGAAGTGTCTGGTTGCACGGCATCAGTCGGCGTCCTGACAAAAGACAAAATCTACGTCGTATGTCAACCCCGCATCCTACCACGTTGCGACGCTCACACAGACAGGCCAACGCAGGTGACTCGCGCACTGTTCTAGGAGTCAAGGGCAGGGCAAAGCCCCTTTCATTCGACCACAAGCCGCAGAACGAGGGTAGGCAGATACGCCGACAGTTTGCGATCGGTCACTGCTGACATCTTCCAGCCGAGAAAGCACGTATCCAAGCCGCAGGTGGCTTTGTCGACTTTGGCCGCGTCAACGGTAACCTTGCTTTGTCGCGCGCAATAGGCGATTTCGAATTCAAGAAGAGCGCCGATCTCCCCCCAGAACAGCAAATAGTCACCGCCTACCCCGACGTCGAGATTCACGATATCAACCAGGATGACGAGTTCCTGATTGTGGCTTGTGATGGTGAGAGGAATAGTCTCTGTAACCACATCTCTTTACTAACTGGATTTCAGGTATCTGGGACTGCCAGTCTTCTCAAGCCGTTGTCGAGTTTGTTAGGCGCGGAATTGTTGCAAAGCAGGATCTCGCATCCATTTGCGAGAACATGATGGACAACTGCCTGGCATCTAACAGCGACACTGGAGGTGTTGGCTGCGACAACATGACGATGATTATTGTTGGTCTCCTGCAGGGAAGGACAAAGGAGCAGTGGTACGAGGACATCGCAAAGCGGGTTGCGAATGGAGAGGGTCCATGTGCGCCGCCAGAGTATGGCAAGTCAGAAGATCCAGCCGAATCGCCCAAGGCGGAAGAGTAGTTCAGTTCTAATACAATCGTGTAGCCGAGTTCCGCGGTCCCGGTGTTCACCATCGCATTGACGATTCTCCTGATGACATCGACATGGAGCTCGATAGCCGCTTCCGGCCGAATAACAGCAATGGTGGCCGCATCATCCTCCTCGGTGATGGCACAGAAGTCTCTACTGGAGAAAATGAGCACGAAATGTTTGACAACGAGGATGAGGACAAGGATCTTGACTCGCAAGTCAACAAGTACAACCAGGAGGCCGACAACAAGTCGCGCCAGGACCGCCAAGGCACCCCGGGCCCTCAGCATGAGAGCAAAGTCCAAGTAACCGAGTCACCGTCCTCTGTGCAGACTGAAAAGTCTGATGCTCCCGAGCCTCAATCGAAAGAGGCTCAAGCCAAGAAGACAAGCGAGAAGTAGCTTGTGCTCACTTGACCTGGCCACAGCATTCACACAGGGCCATGAAAGACCGACCTCGATGCATATCAACATGTGGTGCCTATCTTACGAATCTTTTTGTCTTGCAAGCGGTGACGGGTATTGGTTTCTTGCAGGATTAAAGTAGTGGGCCATGGAAACAAGTCTCACGGAACCCATGCGGGTAGTGTTATGGAATGATACCTGGCGGACTAGAATCGCCATCTCCTATGCCTAGCTATATCTTTTTTTCATGATACTTTTGTTCTACTGAAACAGAGCTTACCATTGGTGTGTGTATGTACTTTTCCCCGCAGAGACCGTGACCACTAAGCTATGACGTCATATTGATCCGAATGTGCTGTTGTCCGCACGGACTCAAGAGCAATGCCATCAGTATTCTATATGCGTTTTATTCCAGGCTTTCTCAACCCAATAGGGATTCCGTTCATGGGTTGTAGACAAGTTTTGGATGTGCTCACTCATGCTATCGTCGGTTGCGCACTATCCCATACATTGAACATCACCATGCGTCATCCAGACGGCATTGCAACCACAACGACGGATCCAATCAAAGGCCCCAGCACTCACAGTTTTCATGTTTTTTGCAGTCTTGTTTCAATTTTAATACTTGCAACTCTCGGGAGTGTTGGTTCGTGTGCAAAACACCAGAAATAGCACAGATATCCAGGGTCTATGTCCGCGCATCATCACATTTGGTCATAATTTGTGATGTCGGTGTAAACGTCACGATTATAGTGTGACTTTGGTAGTGCCGGAAATAACAAGCTATGATTTGAATTGACTGGATCTGGCCACTGATTCAAAAGAGTTCATACCGATTTTTAGTCTCACTTCCTTCCGCATCTCCAAGCACTCCATCCGCCCAATCTTTCTCACAATGGACCCCGTTAACCCCAACCAGAAAGTTCGTAAAACTCCACAGTGGGCATTGTACCAGCGTGAGAACTTTTGGAAATCGAATGAAGGCGAAGTCCCAGTCTTCAATACCGGTATGGTCACCTTGCCTTGGTGACATCTTACTTCATCCATGCTAAGACATGTAATAGATCCTGGTAAGCTTGAAGAGTTGGCAAAAGAGAAACTTAGTCAAGGGGGCTGGTTCTATGCCTCCTCCAATGCTGGTCAATCGCGCACCCACATCGCCAATAGACAGGCTTTCTACCGGCACCGGATCATTCCGCGCATGCTTGTTGATACCAATCAACGTGACACTACAACCGAGATCTTTGGACACAGAGTTCCTGCACCAATTGGATTTGCACCTGTCGGCATCAACAAGATCTATAATCCGCAAGGCGAGTTACCTGTAGCGAGATCTGCGGGAGTATTAGGACTACCATACTGCCTCTCAACAGCAGGTTCACAAAGCATAGAGGACGTTGGTCATGCTAATGACCAAGGCGTGAAGAGTGGCCGAGGCGATGTCGGAACCGCTGCCGGCGGTGGTGAAAGGGGCCTCAGGTTTTTCCAATTGTACATGCCACATGACGATGAGCTTACACGCTCACTCCTGCAGCGCGCAGTGGACAGTGGCTTTACGGCATGTATTCTCACAGTAGACACATGGCAACTCGGCTGGCGACACGACGATGTCGCAAACTCAAACTATGCTTTCTACCATGGCATAGGCGCGGACCTGGGCTTGACTGACCCGGTCTTCCAAAAGAGGTTGGAAGAGAAGGGCATTGATCCCACAACCCAGCCAAACGAGGCAGGTGCACTCTGGATTGACAATGTATGGCATGGACGCGCGCACACATGGGAAAAGGCTGTATGGGCAATGAAGCTCTGGAAGGAACTTAGCGGAGGCAAGCCATTCTCTTTGAAGGGCATTCAAAGTGTGGATGATGCGAAAAAGGCTGTGGAATTGGGCTTCGACGGCATCGTTGTAAGCAATCACGCTGGACGACAGGTTGATGGGGCAGTTGCAAGCTTGGATGCTCTGGAAAAGATTGCCGACAGTAGGCTTCCCAGATATCAGATTCTGTCGCCTCCCTCGCTAACCCTTTTCCAGCTGTTGGCGATAGAATTTACATCATGTTTGACTCTGGCGTTCGCTCGGCATCTGATGTTGTCAAGGCACTTGCTCTGGGCGCAAAGTTTGTCTTCGTTGGCCGGCTCTGGATTTGGGGCCTTGCCATTATGGGCGAGGCTGGTGTCACCCATGTCATGAAGAGCTTGTTAGCAGACTTGGATATCTTGATGAATGTTGGAGGATTCAAGAATATTGAAGAGATAACAAGAGATGCACTGGACAGTGAGCCAAAGGGATACCAGCTGTTGCCAACAGCTAGTAAGCTCTAGAGCGTAGTGGATGGCATTTGTTTGCTTACCGCGTATTTGCAGACGTAATGTTTTTTCCGCAAAACAAAGACTTTGCATTTATCTCCTCGAAAAGCACTTCTATATCACCCACATTGATTTAGCGGCTTGAAAGCCTGTAGAAGTAATTGATGTATCTTAGCCAATGGGCCAGTGGGTGTGATCACATGGCGCTAGGCCAGGAAAGGCTGACCGCTGTAGGGCTGGGAGATGGTCCAAGCACTCCCGAGCCACTCCAACTCAACTCCCACTCCCCTCAATGCGCAGCTTCCCCTCCTGTGACTGTAGACAATACACATAAACAGTATGTTTTGTATCGTCGCGATTCATTGATTTTGTTATATCACGGAATTATTCAACAAGAAGCCATTGCGACGCTACCTAAATCTACTTGTGTTGTTCGACATACAGACCGGAGCCGGCCAGCCCAGAAATATCTCCGCGTTGACTGCCCATCATGTCGGTCATTCTCTGTACTGGTACGTGGAAGTGCTACGAAGCTCTGAAGAACGATACTGACTCCTTGAATAGCTGGTTACGACCACACTATTCGGTCCGCATACATTTGAACTCGCGTTGTTCGCAATCTATACTGACAGCTCAACGCCAGATTCTGGGAAGCGCTGTCTGGAATCTGCTCCCGCACCATTCCTCACCCAGACTCGCAAGTCAATCGCCTCTGCATATCGCCTGATAAGCGCTACCTCGCTGCTGCCGGCCACCACACTGTAAAGCTGTACGACATCAAATCAACCAACCCGAATGCGATTCTTACCTTTGACGGCCATACTTCGAACATTACCGGTGTCGCGTTTCACTGTGAATCCAAGTGGTTAGTCACTTCATCGGAAGATGGCACGGTTAAGATTTGGGATACACGGTCAGGCAATGTCCAACGCAACTACACCCACGGTGTTCCGGTCAACGATGTGGTGATTCACCCAAACCAGGGAGAATTAATCAGTTGCGATCGTGGCGGCAACGTAAGGATCTGGGACCTCGGCGAGAACAAGTGCTCGCATCAGCTCATTCCCGAAGATGATGTCAGTGTCGCAAGTGTGACTGTTGCCAGCGATGGCAGCATGGTTTGTGCTGGAAACAACGCTGTAGGTTTGCCTATCTTTTCAGAGCGGAAACTCTGGGAATGGATTCTAACAAGAGCGACAGGGTAATGTCTATGTCTGGCGAATGATCCAACGTAGCGACACTACATCCATCCTGCCCATATGCAAGTTTGTCGCACATACCACCTACATCACTCGCGTTCTCCTCTCCCCCGATGTCCGCCATCTAGCCACTTGCTCCGCTGACCACACAGCCCGCATTTGGTCTGTTGATACCTCAGCTCCCCATAACGTTACGCCCAACGACAATCTCCCGTCAGCCAGCGAACGCGACCCAGCAGCTTTCCCGCTCGAGACTACACTACACGGCCACCAGAGATGGGTCTGGGATTGTGCCTTCTCGGCAGATAGCGCGTATCTGGTCACTGCCTGTTCTGACCATTATGCGCGATTGTGGGAACTAGGCAGTCAAAGCATTATTCGGCAATACAACGGACATCATCGTGGAGCCGTCTGTGTGGCCTTGAACGACACTGCTGTTGGTAATTAGGGATCACGACTTCACTCGGTAAGTAAGATTAGTGAACGATATGTGCATGAATCCATGTATTTGCATCAGCGTTGGCGTTTTTGGCGGGGAAATGATACTCAGTAACGGGGAGGTTAATTAGTCAAATATTAGATGGGCATCTATGGCGAAACAAGGAGGGTTCTTAATCATCAAGGTCTGGGAAGTGACAATCAAGTCATATACAACATGTGTCTGTTTGAGCGGTAATCTGGATTGTGGAGATATAAGGGTACAAATCATTGTTGCATAGTGTACAGATGAAGATGAAGGGCAGAGAATGCAACGACGGTATATCGTTCTCAGTGAACGGTAAAACTAATGCCCTCTCTCGTTCGCTCTTTGAACAAGCCCTTTTTTTTCTGCTCTTAATCGCATGATAAATTGATCCTATTTACAGCACCCAACGCCATGATCGCTATGCATGATCTCCCTTTACTCTTCTATGATAGAGATAACAAAAGAAGCATGACCGACTACTTGGTAGCAATAACAGGGAAAGGGGACAGTTGAACGTTGGTTGCCAAAACGATCAAAGAGAAAAAAAAGACAAGGAAGAAACAGATACAAAAAACGCCCGAACAAATGCTCCCGAACTAAAACTCCCTTTCATAACAAACACAACAGCAACAACCCTTTGGGCATAAGGCGTAAAAATTCTTTAATCCATAATTCATTCCTTCACATCCCCTAGGGTAACTATCACCACCACCCACGACACTCACCCATCCATGACTCCTGCTCTTCCTCTTCCCCCTTTCCCCTCCTATTGCAACCAAAAAAAAACCCCCTCCCCACGGAACCATCAACCAGCATCCGGTGGTCCCATTACAACAAGACTTCTTATTTGCGTATCAAAGCCGAGAACCAAGACGATAATTTCTTGCCGGACACACTCGGGGGTAAGTAGAAGGAGAAGAAGAATAGCGTGCTGGGGGTGTTTTCGTTGTGATGCTCTTGCCACATCATGGCCTTTTCCCACCAAAGTCTTGCGTTCTGAACCTGTCGATAACAAAAAGGGCGCGTCGTTATGTAGGATTGTAGCCGTACTGGGACTGCGATAAGGCGGAAGAGGACAAGAAAACGACGACGAGAGATTTGGCGAGGAAGAAGGAGAAAAAGAAAGAGTAGGGCAAGGTAAAAGTGTAGTTGTTGGTATAGTATCTAACATTTCTCCTGGCACGGAGACTGGTGGTACGTCTGGCAAGAATATGGGGTATCGAGGCGGCGCAGTGGTTTCGCTTCATACTCGTCTCGTCATGGGGGACGTATGGCGAGGAGTCGAAGCGTGGCATAGTGGTAGCAGATAAAGGCGTATGTGTAGGTGGAAGTGATGACGCTCCTGGGCGTCACAGGGAGATCTCAAGCTGTAGTTTCTGTACATCTCGTCTGCATGGATAGCGGAGCGTGATGGGGTTGCATCCAAGGCCGGGTTGTAGAGCGGCTTTGTGGTAGATCTAAAACCCCAAAAGATATCAGCTCTTTGTGTAAGATACCCCGAAAAGGTAGGGCTAAGAACGAAGATGGAAAGTGGCCGTTGTCTAGGCGGGACCACCTTCATCTCCCTTCGTCTCTGAGTTCTCAGGTGCATCTTCAGTTTCTCCGACCTGTCCTTCAGCGCTATCGCCCTCAGGAGGGGCAGCCGCGGCGGCGGCTGCAGCAGCTGCAGCGGCCTCAGCTTCCCTCGCCTGCTTCTCTGCCTTTGCTCTTTGGCGTGCAGCCTCACGCTCAAAGTTCTCCTTGCGGGCTCGCTCGTCCTTTGCTTTGCGCAGACGCTCTGTTTCTTCCACGCCACCACTCTTCTTCAACTTTCCTTCTTCAACAAAGTTGCCCAGTTCGCGCTTAAACTCGTCGTCGTTTCTTGTCGCAAGATCGCGTTGACGCGCCTTTTCAGCTCGCTCGATGGCTTCCAGTCTGCCTTCGTGATTTGGTTGCAGAGCCTTGACCTCGCCCAGGACACCATCTCGAGCTTGCCGGGGGTCGATGACCTTATCCGCAGCAACTGCATTGAGCATGCTGCGACCGCTTGCAGAGCGCATTCCCTTGCCATTCTCCTTCTCGCTTTCAAGGTTCTGCTGCTTCGTCGCCTGTTCAACCAGCTCCAGCGTCTGGGCCGCCTTCTCAAGATCGTCCTGTAAATCGGCTGCGAGTTCTTCTTGCATAGTAAGCATGTCTCGCTCCTCACAGACAGTCTGCAGTTCTTGCTCCCAAATCTTGGTCCAGAGCGGCTTCTCCTTGGCCAGAACGTCTTGCAACTTCTTAAGCTCTGCAGTAGCCATGGACAAATCTTTGGCTGTAGTCTCGAGTTGGCGAGGTAGGGGCCGAACTCCACGCATGACAACGTCCTTTCTGAGATCTTCTACAAGATCCTGGAGATCATCAACCCTGTTGACAATCTTCTCCGAGTCGTCCTGCAAAGCCTTCTTTCCGTTGTTGATGTAGGCGCGACCACTATCACCATCAAGTGAAGGCAATGCAACCTTGATAGCAGTAGATTTGACGGCACCCGCCTTTGTACGTATCGTCGCCATGCTCGCTTGTATATCCGAAACGAATGATGAATATGTCTGGCGGACAACGGCTAAATCTCGACGTAGCGCCTGCACTTCGTTGAGTTGAGTGGCCGATGTAACTGTACCTTCAGAAGGTCCACCACTTGGAATGGAGCGTGAAGCCAATAGAGCAGAGTTGCGATTGGAAGAAAGTGGCGCTGCAGATATACCAGCAAGCTCCTTACTAGTTTGCTGCTGGCGTTCTGCAACGCGCTGTATAGTCGCTTGCTGATCCTCAACAACGGTCTTTATACTTTCCACTAACTTGCTGAGACCACCAAATTTGTCGTCAATATGGTTCTTTACTTCATCAAGCTGCTCTACATTCAGAACAAGGACGGCTCTGTCCTTGATGTCGCGTATGTCCTCCAACTCGTATCGTACACCCGAAACTGGGTCCTGAATATGAATCTCGGGTAGGTCGCCATAGCGGTGGGTGTCCCAAGCGAACTTCTCGATAAAAGCTAGTTGCAGTCGAGCAGAAGAGAGTTCGGAACCATCAGCAAACACATACTTCTTGATCTTGCTCTTGTACTGAAGGAAAACTGTGAGCTCTTTCCCTTGTTGAGGCGATTGCTCTGGAATGAAATGTGAAGGTTGCGGAGACGGCGTCTTTGTTCTGTAAGAACTGTGGCGGCTTGCTGCTGGCCTAGGACTTCCGTCTTTGGCTGGTGAGCCAGGCGCGATTTCGGCTGGTTCAGACAATGGCCCGTTGAGAGTGGCGCCTAGTGCGAGTTGATCATTTTCAGTGAATTTTGGTGGACCAATCTTGTCCTGTGGTGTCTTCTGAATAGGGCTGTCTTCTGCTCCAGATTCTTGGGGAGGCGGCAGGCTTGGTGCTTTGCCCTGAGAACTCTCCTCAGAGATGCGTCTGTCATTGTGCTGATCATAGGAAAATTTGGTTTCCACTGCTGGGCGCTGCTGGACGGGTTGTTGATTTGATCGCTGCCGACCTTGCAGCGTGGGTGCTCTTGTTCGGACTGCGTTCATAGACTCGCGCACATCCCGACCCCTATTCGGTATGGGTGAGTTCTGAACGGGCGGAAGTGGTATGCCATTTGTACCGAGATGCTTCTGGATCTGATAGGCTGAGAATCTCCGTGAAGCCCTCCGCTCTAGCTCTCCTCCTCTTTGCAATGCAGCCAGCGCGTCTTCTTGTTGTGGCGGGGGTGGAGGGGGCGGGAAGTCGACGGGATAGTTGGGTTGCGGTTGTGGGGCGTGTTCTGGCGGCTTGGGCATGGCGTCGTCTGAGGGGTAAGGAGCGATGACAGGCGCTTGCTGGGCAGAGTTACTCGACATAGACGAGTCTGTAGAGAGCTGGCTTGCATTCGTAGAGCGGTTCGATTTCGGATTCGAGGGCAGTGAGTCGTACTTGCTTGGCGATGCTCGGCCGCCTCCTGCTACCGAGGAGGAGCGTGGGGGGAGGCCGGGGCCGCCAAAAGATGGACTGTCGCCCCTCGAGGGCAGTCTTTGGCTTGCTGAACGGGCTTGCTGTGCGTCCTCGACTTCACTGGAACTACCGACGCTGGCCTGCCGGGGACTGCCGCCGCCGTTAAGTGAGCCATCTCTTGCAGTACGCTGCCGTAACCGCTGCTGCTTCTTCTTCAGGCCGTGGAGGAGGTTGATGATGATGTCTCGTATGCGAGGTAGGAAGTTGTCGAGGCTGGCCTGGGATGCTTCCTGGCTCAGGGTCTCTTCCAGTATGCCGCGCAACAGTTCCGGGACATTTCCCAGGTCGTTTGTGTCAACGCCAATGGCATTGAAGGCACGCGACGCGATGTTGAACTCATAGCCCAGACGGACATAGACGTCGGAGACCTCGCTCTCGGTGGCGGTCCCACGCGACCATAAGGTCAGAGTCTCTGGGTCGTGTCAGCGCATGCGATATTGGAAGTGGGTGGGGCCTGGATGCGCGGTAGACTGACCGAGCAGTTGCTTTGTGGCGACGAGCAGATGTGTGACGGACTTCTCGATCTGGGAGAGTTGCTGCTGGGGCTAGGATGCATGACATGTCAGCGGGCGCGGTTGGACTCTTGGGCGCGGAATGCCGAGAGGGTCAGTACGTACGTTCTTGGGCGCACGGCGTGACGATGAGGACCCCTGGGACGAGCGCATGGAAGAGGGCTCTTCGGCCATGATGGGGGAGGAGGGGGGGCGCAGGTATGCAGCAGCTGCAGCAGAGTGGATGGCCGAGTGACGGAGCCTGAGGGCACGACACGCTCTCTCGGTAGTGTTGGCAAGCACGTTGGGTGCACCGACGTCTGGCTGCCCGCTCCCGCCAAGGCCTGAGTGGCTGGGGCTGCACGTGGCGCCGTCTCACACCCGCCACATCTCTTTTGCGCCTGCGCCCGCCCGCCCGCTGGGCCATTCACGTGCCCTGCAGACCCGGTTTTTTTTCTTCTGCCATTGCGGCATGACGGGCTATCTGCACAGCCAGACATTCCTGATAGCAGGGTGCCGTGGGGTTTTGTCGTCGCTGGTCGCCTCTTGACACGGAGCCCGTGCTGCAGGGCAAAAATAGACACAAGTATCTCAAGGCCAAGCAAAAGAAGACGAGCGAGACAGAGGCATTGTCCCAAAAAGGTCGAGCGCACCACGTTGCCATGTGCCTGAGACGGCCTGGGAGGCTCGAGGTCCGCAACGAGTCGGTAGGGTCCGTTGGCTATGTAGTGTAGTAGCGCATCCATGGCATCCATCAGTTGGGCAGCCACTGCAGCACTGCAGACTACTGCGGCGTACTACGGGCCTACGCTGGCGCTACTCCCTGGAGCTGCTGGGGTAGTCATTGTGGGCATGCGTCTCTAGCATGGGCGAGCCGTCATGAACAGGTGTTTGCCCCGTATTTGCTCGCAGGAGCGGCATTGTGTGGTGTAGTGTATGTAGGCATGCAGGCAGGCAGGACAGCACCAGCACCAGCACCAGCAGATGCTCTGGCCAGCGGGCAGGGTTGCAAGCAGCCGACAGAGTTTGTGCATGGCCACGGTCGCCTCGCCAAAAGAGGCCGGGGACGGGGCCAGCAAGCGAGGCGACAAAGCTCACGGGCAGGCCGTTTGGCCGTGTGGCCGTGTGGTAGCAACGTTGGCGGTGGCAGCACTGGATTCACGGCTACGGCAGCCCCAGGCGTGGTTAGCTGCCGCATCTGTTTCATAAGTCGATCAGGCTTGGCACCTCAGCGTGGACATCTGTCTCTGCATTCGGGCACAGCCTCCTATACCATCGCGACCTCCGCCGCCGGCTCTCCCTCGCATTGCTCGTCCTGCCTCTGTGCCTGCTGCCGCATTGCATCGAGTGCCCTGCGCTAACGTCGACAGCCCCGACAGCACCCCCCCAAGTAGAGAGCTGGAGCTGCTTGCCCTGTCCCGACCCCCCGCCCGTCGCTCCATTCTCCCACCCACAACCACCGACACCGACACCGACGCCCGCTACCGCACCGCCAACGCCCGCGCCCTCCTCGCCCATCCATGTCCGCTGCCGCTGCCACGACCAGCACCTCCTCCAATGCTCTGAACGCCGTCTCCACTCCCGGCAGGCAACTGAAAATGAGCACAGCTGGCAAAGCCGCTACCGACGCACAGCGAAAGCCAGGAAGCCCCAGCGAAGGTAGCCAGAGGTAACTAGTCCCTCTCCCACAGCCCCGCCCGCCTACTCCTCCCATCGTACGTTGCTCTTCAGCTGCATGTCTGCCCACGCTCCCCTCCGCCCGCCCCCGACACCGCTACCACACGCCGGGATATCCTCGTGTGACTTGTCGGCGGTCACATGGAGCCACGGTGCGACTGCGCTGTCCACTAGACGGCCCTCGCGCCCTGTCCTCTGTCCAATTGCCTCACCTTGCCCTGCCCGATGCTCGATACATTTGCACCTGCCTGCGCCTGGCCCAATGCTGACTTGGCACCTTGTAGGAAGCAGCCGGCCAAAACGGCATGGACCCAGGGTACCAATCCCCTCACCCAGCGACCGACGAACCCTTCCCCATCCAACGGCCTCGTAAACTCTCCCAAGCCCACCCCGACACCCTCGTCGGGCGAAACTGCGTCTCCAATGCGCCACCTCAGCGATCGGATGATGTACCTGTTGGCCAACCTCACTGTAAGTGGCGGGTGCTGCTCAATCCGAAGCCGACAAACACAGCTGACGGTCATGGTTAGGGTCTTCCGGGCATCATTACGCTGAAGAATGGTGAAAAGTACTCGGGCGTGCTGTCCGGTACTTCATTGGACCCCAGCGAGCTGCGTTATGTCTTCAAGATGGTCAAGAAGTTGATGCCCGCCAGCAATGCCCAGACCAATGGCACTGGTGACGTTTCCGACGACTACGTCGGTGCGGGTGACTACCACGTCATGTCCTTTGACATGAGCGACGTTGCCGATTTCAATGTCAACAACGTGGTGCTTGACAAGTCTAGCGCCAAGGGCCAGAACGGTATGTCTCTTGGTAACTGTCTTTTCTCGCACCAAGCTGACTGTCGCAGGAACATCGGGCTTCCGCACAGACACCGACATTTCAGGCAAGATGGCCTTCCGCGAGCGTGACCTGCAGAAATGGGAGCCATCCGAGGTCGACCCAAGCCTCACTCTTGAGTCAACGGGACGGACGACTGAATGGGACCAATTTTCCACCAACGAGCGCCTGTTTGGTGTAAAGAGCAACTACGATGAGACTTTCTACACCACCACTATCAACAAGAACGACCCACAGTATGCAGAGAGGGCTGCCCGTGCTGAGAAGATTGCTCGAGAGATTGAAGGCAGCACTGCAACCAACGCGCACGTCCGCGAGGAGCGAGGAGGATATTCTGCTGCCGACGACAACGGTGACGAGGAAGACAAGTATAGCGGCGTGCGTCGAGACTTTCCAGCTCTGGCAACGGGCCAACCCAACCGGTATACCCCGCCTGCGCGCCGTGCACCTTCCGCTCAGCCAACAGTGCCCGGCGCTCCGGTCGATCCTGCCATTATTTCCTCGTCTGTCGCACGACCTGGTTCACAGATCGCACAACGTGCCGCCAGTCCCGCCGCGCCAGCAGCCCCTGCAACGGAAGCCCCCAAGGCCCAGGAAGCCGCCAAAGAGGCACCCAAAGAAAGCACAAAGGAAACCTCCAAGGAGGCCCCCAAGGAGACCCCCAAACCAGCATCCAAGCCAGCAGATGTGCACAAAGCTATCACGGAGCAACTACAGAAACCCAGCAGTACCATCAAGTCCACAGTGGCTGCCATTCCCCCTCGCAAGGCCGGACGACCACACGATGCAACAACCAATGTGGAACATGATCTGCTGGATTCTTTCAAGCAGTTCTCAGCCGCCGAAAAACTGCGCATCTCTGATCGCCAGAGGGCCTTCGCTCGCGAAAACAAGGCAGTCAAGCTGAATGACTTGAAGAAGTTTGCGCTCAACTTCAAGCTGAGCACACCAGTGCCATCAGATTTGGTCCCCATACTTGCTAAGGACGAGACTAAGCAGCAAGCTATTGTCGACAAGGCCAACCGACAAGCGCTTGAATTGAAGGCTTCGCCGCCTGCGAAGCCCTCGACCAGCACTGCCGACCCCAAAGCTGCTCCACGGCCATCTGCTAAGCCTGAGCCTACCCAGGCTTCCCCAAGCACGAATGTCGACCGCCAACAAGCTCAGCGTCCCCAACAGAGACAGCAGCCCTACGCATCAGCTAGCATGCGGGGTGCGCACCAGAACATGAACATCCCTCCTCGGAACCCGGGACTACTCAGCACTCGTCTACAGATGAATCATCAGCAACACAAACAACAGGGTGCAGTGCCCTACAATGGCGTTCCTCAGCCAATTCCACCTCAAGATACTCGGATGCCCCCTACTGGTTCTTCACAGCCCTCTAGCGGCGCTCAAACACCTTCCAGTGTGTCAAGGTTCAATGTTCGTGCACATGAGTTTAAGCCAAACCCAGCAGCGAATACTTTCCAGCCTGGTGGAAACCCAAGCGCTAGCTCCAGCCCTCGACCAAACTCATCACGGCAAGAAGTTCGTAAGCCGCCCGTCACCAACTTCTTCACTGGTCAACGGCCAAATGTAAAGTCTCTGGACGGCCCAACAACCTTCAACGCTGTTGGACGTATGGAAAAGGAGGTACAAGGGAGTGAGAAGTCGCATTCTGATATCGCGCCTCCTTACAAGACTTTCCCCACGTGGGACTTCCCTGCATCCAATTCAAACAAGGGGTATGAGCAGTTATTTGAACATGCTCCTCCAGCAGCGCCGTTATCAGCCCCTCAACACGTAATGACCAGCGGACCCATGCCGCATCAAATCCCTCCCCATCTCCAGGGCGCACAAGGCATGCCACAAGGCCCAACGCCCCAACACACACCCCGAGGCCCGCCAGTGCAGCCGCATATTGGCCAGAATCCACACCAGTTCGAGGCGCCCCACATGCAATACTCGCACTCGCAGTCGTCAGTCCAGCCTTCACCGCGGCCCATGGCACCTTTCATGTATGGAGCACAACCCCAGCAAATGCCAGGTTATCCTCAGCCTGTCCAAGTTCCTCAATACGGCATGAGCCCTAACGTTCAGCATGTGCCTATGCGTAACGCGCAAGGTGGACAGTTCATCCAACCCCCTGGCCCAGCCATGGGAGGGCAAATGATGACGAACCAGCCTTCAAATGGGCCTTATATGGGCATGCCTGGTAATCCTCAAATGCAAATGTACTCTCCGGCTCCTGGACCTGCATACCCACAATACCCCGGCCACATGCCTGGGCCTGGCGCCAATGGGTTCCCAAGTCCGAGACCAGGTGCTCCGATGATGAGCCACCAAGGCTCACAACAAGGTCACCACCAGCAACCCCACATGATGTACATGCAGCCCGGAGCACCAGCACCTCAAATGTACCAGATGCAGCCAGGGTCCAGTAAGTCAGCTTATGGAAGAATCACGGTACAAAAGCTAACATGCCGGCAGTGGCTCCGATGCGAGGACCTTATCAGCAGCCATACCAGGGTGGGCATTACGGCTCACCCCAGCAGCATCCCCAGTTCCCCCAACAACATCGTGGTACACCAAGTGCAAGCTACTCTCAACCTATGATGCAGCAGCATTCGACAGGGCCTCAGGTTCCACCAGCCGGCCCCGCTAACCATGGTCCGGAAGCCGTCAACGAAACCAAATGAAAGTCTCACAGATGAAGCTTCGCATCTTAACTCTAGCGACATCTCTCGAAGGTTACCGCTTGAGCTCCACGAGATGCTTCCCACACGTGTTTTACTTAATTTTGCTATGCGATTAGCGTGGGTGGGCCGATATTCTCTCTAATGAGTGGCTTGACGCATAGCGACCGGCGTTGACAGGGCATGGAGGGTGCACAAAAGGATTACGGTGTGGGCAATGGTATTGCTGGCTATGGGTGTGCGGGGTGGGAAACTACCGCAGTTCGCTATCTTGAACACGACCGCAAAGTACTATGGGGGAATCGAGAGGGGTGCCTTGGCTTTTCCGATTACTGGGGAGATGATTGAACAGTGAAGTGGAGGGGGCGAGGGACGTGTGTGTGTGTGTGTGTGTGGATGATAGGTGGTGGTGGTAGCTAGCAGAGCATGTTTTCTCCAAGACATGGTTTCCAACCAGCACATCAATGCAACTAGCTTCAGTATTAATCCATCAGCTTTCCTTTCAAGGAAGTCCATCTGATCTAAATGCAGATATGCAGGTGACAAGGATCAATCAGCAGGTACACGGACCCACCCTCTAGCGTGTGCATCCAGGGTCCACACTCCCGCCGTTGTTCCGACACTACCCCAGACGAACGGCATCTGCTCGCCAGACTTACCGTTCCTTATACTTACTACTTGATGTCGCTCCGTACTGCATGCCGGTTCCTCATGAAAACTTTAAACTGAGCAGCATGACCGACACCGCCGCCGAACCACTAATCCCCAGTAATGCCCACCACGACTTCCCTCCCGATCCGCGCAACCCATACACCAGCGACAACGATGACGACACCGAGACATACGACGACGACGACGACAACGACGACGAAGTCGACGAGTCAGCCCTGGTTTCCCCCGGCCTCTTCATCTGGATCCTGACCATATGCGCCGGCGTCAGCGGCCTGTTATTCGGTTACGAGTATGTTTTTTTTTCTTCTTCTTCTCATGAATCTCTCTCTCTCCACCTTTAACATTAGAGTCGCGAAGCCTAATCATTCTTTCCCGTAGCACGGGCGTCATATCCTCGACCCTCGTCTCCATCGGCACCGATCTCTCGTCGCGGCCCCTCTCCACCCTCGATAAGAGCTTAATAACATCGTGTACTTCGTTTTTTGCGCTGCTGGCCTCGCCGCTTACGGGTGTGCTGGCGGATTCGTACGGGCGCCGGACGGTCATTTTCGTAGCGGATGTATTGTTCGTGCTTGGCGCGCTGGGTCAGGCTTGGACGCGTAGTGTGGGCGGCATGATTGTGGGCAGGTCGATTGTCGGGGCTGCAGTGGGAAGCGCGTCGTTTGTTGTGCCGCTGTATATTTCGGAGCTGAGTCCGAGTCCGTTTCGGGGCAGGTTGGTGGTTGTGAGTAGTTTGTTTGTGACGGGCGGGCAGGTTGTCGCGTATGTTGTTGGATGGCTTTTTTCGCAGCGGGTGCATGGGTGGAGGTGGATGGTTGGGTTGGGGGCGTTGCCGGCGGCGGTGCAGTTTGTCATGTTGTTCTTTTTGCCGGAGACGCCGCGGTATCTTGTTAAGGCTGGAAGGACGCAGCAGGCGAGGGCGGTGCTGGGGAGGGTGTATAAAAGCGACGAGGGTGGAGCCAAGTTGGTGGGCGCTGTGCTGCGGCGTGTGGAGAGGGAGATTGAAGAAGAGGAAGACGCGGCTGGTTTACGGGGCATGCCCGAGTCTGCAAAGTCTGGCTGGAGAGCAAAGGTAGAAAGAGCGCAAGACAACTTGTCTCAACTGATTGTCATTGGAGGAAACCGAAGGGCATTGATAATCGCTTGCATGCTCCAAGGCTTCCAACAATTATGCGGTTTCGTAAGTAATCCCTATTATCCCCAAGCTCCTCCTCCATACTAACCACGCCCCAGAACTCCCTCATGTACTTCTCCGCCACAATCTTTCGCATGGTAGGCTTCTCCTCCCCAACCCTAACCTCGCTCTCCATCGCCCTCACAAACTTCCTCTTCACCCTCGTCGCCTTCCACTTCATCGACCGCATCGGCCGCCGCCGCATCCTCCTCTACTCCATCGCAATCATGATCCTGGGCCTCATCCTCTGCGCCATAGCATTCATCTACGTCGACCTGCCCGTCGAAGAAGAAGCAGTTTCTAACAACGATGCGGCAACGAAAACGTGGCCCCTTGTTATTCTTATTTCGATGATTACATATGTAGCTGGCTATGCGATTGGCATGGGAAACGTACCCTGGCAGCAGTCCGAGCTGTTTCCTTTATCCGTACGTTCCCTAGGATCGGGCATTTCGACTGCCACCAATTGGGGCTCGAATACGCTGGTTGGCCTTACTTTTTTGCCCATGTTGCATCTTTTTAGTCCTGCGGGCACATTTGCGGTCTATGCAGTTGTGTGTGGGGTTGCGTGGGGGACTGTGTGGAGGATCTATCCTGAGACGGCGGGGTTGGGGCTTGAGGATGTGGGAGGGTTGTTAAGAGAAGGATTTGGGGTTAGGGAGAGTGTGAGGGGGTTTGAAGAACGGAAAAGGGAACGAGAGAGGGAGAGGGTTGCGGTAATATAGAAGAGGTGTTTTAGATGAACTTAGAATCAAGAGTATTTGAGCAGTAATTCTGACGATGTGTTTTTTGTAACAACCCACGTAAATGCGCATCGATTCATCACAGTGCCCACCCCCCCCCCTGACCACAATCTTATCCCAAAAACAAATCCAACAACTTGGCATACTTCTCTGGAAACTGATACAAATGCCCGTGTCCCGAATCCTTAAAAACACACAACTCTGCCTTCTTCATCCTCTGCTGCATAAGCCAGCTATTCGGTGTCGGTGTCATAACATCCGTCTTCCCATTCGTAACCAGCACCTCCTTGTCCAACTCCTCCATTCGCTGAAAAAACGTCGCGTCACCCACAAACGCTGCGATTGCTGCATTCTGCGCCTGTGCTCCAGCTTCATCGACAAACGTCGTGCGTTGCTCGCCGTCGACGTGACGCTCGGGGAGCCGGTGCCACCATGCTGCGCCCAGCGCCCGACTCGTTTCAGAGGGATAGAAGAAGAGGTCGAGCATAGTGTCTAGCGTTGGATTTGGCTGGCTCGCTTTCATCATGATGCTGGGGTCTGGCGCCACGAAGCCAGTCGTATACGCTGATTGCGTGCCCGCGAGCACGAGTTTCCGCACTAACTGCGGATACTCCAGTGTAAGGACTTGAGCGGTAAATCCTCCCATGGAGAAACCTAGGACATCTACTTTGCTCACGTTGATTGCGGAGAGGAAATCAGCGATTGTGGCGGCGGCGCCGCCAATGGTGGGCTGGATAGTGCCGGAACTGTGGCCGCAGCCGGCGTTGTCAAACAGGATTAGGGAACGCGTAGATGCGATACTGTTGAGCAGTAGAGGATCGATAAGGTCCATTGTCCCGCGGAAGTGGGTTATCCAGAGTAGAGGGATGGAGGATGGTACGCCGAAGCGGCGGTAGGCAAGGGTCTTGCCTTTGACATCGACATAGTGGGTTTGGGCTGTTTGGGCAGACATTCTTGGGGGTCTGCGATAGGTATGGAGGGTAGCAGGAATGAAATGTTGCAGAGTGTTGTAGTTGTGTATTTCTCTTTTCGTGTATGAATTCCTGTTCTTATGTGTAGTATTGTGGTGGTGATTATTTATTATTGTAGCTTACAAAAACTGACTGCTCGTGATGTTCCTGCATAGAAGTAAGCTGAATGCGTGCCGAGTTTCTTTTCAAAGTGGTGTACTTCGATACACGGACTTCGGTTGTTGAGTAAACATTCGGGAGAACACTTGATTTGCGCCTTGTCAAGGAAACAAGGGTTATAGCTCATGTAATCAGACTTGATGCATTCATTTGTTCCTAGCGCTCCCTTGATTACTCTTTCGAATGCAGCCAAGAGGCTTGAGTGCTTAGTAAACTACCCGAAATGGCGGTTCGTTGTCTCAATTCCGAATATCGTGCAAGGTAAGGAGTCACTCTAGTATATGGACAAGATCACTTTCCATAGAAAAAGATGGAACGGTTCCACCTTAATCATGCCTCGTCATCGCCATCACACTAGGACCACATTCTTTTCAGAAAACATAGTCCAGTAATCTTGTTCGCTAAGCGTAGTATCGTCTTCTTTGAGGAAACAGAACCCCACAAACTTAAACGCATTTTCGAAGCCATCATATAAAGTTGGTCGCAGCACTAGCTTGAGGTCCCGTTCGTACTCCCATTCCACCAAGGTGCGGCTTGCGGAACAGCGAAATACCACATCACCAACCTCAATGTCTGCAGGTGTGATTCCCAATGTCCCATAGGAAAGGTCAAAGTCGTCAGCTTTGCGCATTGTTCGAAAAACTCGGCTCTGCACCAAGACGCTGTTCACGATACGCGATAGGTTATTGGGCCAATTATAAGCGAATACAGAGTACGGTTCGTTCAGCCAGTCCATTAGGGTAGATTGAAACAATTGCGAAGTTTCCACATCTAGCAAGGCCCACCAGAAGGGTTCCAAGTCATCCGCGTAAAGATCTTTCTGATTGATGATGTTGGCTGCCAGTAAGAGAAGGCATGCTAGATTCTGTCTCACTCGCTCTCGAATCTGCAATACTGACTCTCCATCCACAGGGTGTTGTCGCACCTCAATTTCGGGGACAATATTGGCGGGATGTGACTGGCTCTGCGGTGATATCTCCCAAACTTTGATGATAGACCCATAGAGCCAGCCAGAGAGTTGAAGGCAACGATCATTCGGTGAATCTATAAGTGTTCCAACATCGATTTCTGGGTACAATAAACGCGGCTGAATGAATATGTTTACTTGTCTCCAGTCCGGCACCCATGACGGGGCAATCAGCTCATCTTCGCGAATGGATCCGAAAATCTGGAGATGGTACCAGAACTCGCTCGGCTGTAATTGTATCATGTTTTCTGCCAGGCGCTTATATGTCTCTACCCAGCTTTTGGTTTAATCCACTTCCGGAAGTATCTGGAGGGGCACCGACGAGTTTCTCTGATCGTACATCCCCACCGCCATTTCTGAGCCACTATAGTTGTGGCCCAATATACCATACAGAGCGAACAATCGATCTCTCGGGTCGCTACATTCTGCAGATACATGCTCCAGGAGCGAGTCTGGGAGCCATAACTCACGTTTCAGCGAAGTCTCAATAGTCTTCTTGGCCACTATGTAAGGCTGGTAACTGGCCCATCGACCTTGAGTCTTGTGTTGTTCGTCTAATTCCGGTAGAAGCAAGGTCCCCTTTGCAAACCAATTCCATGCAATCTTGTCATGTCCGTAATGCACTGTGATCTCATGAGCAAGGGCGATTTCTTGCAGGACCCAACGCCGCGTAAACCAAGGGTTAAGGAACAATTGTTGTAAGGTTGACCGCGTAGCCGCGCAGTCTTTGCGAAACTGATTTGGGAGGAATACAGTTTCTTTCTCTACCTCATCGGCAACAACGATCCTCTTCAAGTACATGAAAGCTGCCTGTGCGTCGAATGTCTCCCCAGCGCCGAGCCAGACATGGACTTTTAAGGCAGCTGTGTAAATTCTGCGCATTAGGGGCACTTGAAGCGTCTTCTCTTCCGCGTCGGCTTGATTGATACATATAGCGTCGATCCAGAGACGACGCTGTTTGTGAGGTTTTCGCAAATGGCGTAGCATGGAATCGACTTTTGCGGTAATTGTGAGTGAAGGTAGGTGTCCATGGGTGAAGTTCTTGAAGTAGATAATGTGAGTAGACTTGGGGTCACCCCAACAGTATGATACAGCATCGAAGCCCTGGGAGGAGATTGTGGTATCACCGGATAATTCTTCGTTGTTGTATTCGAAGTGAGCTTCGAGTGGTGCCTGGAAGTCTATTGCGGGGTACGATATCAGAATGCGGATTGCCTCTCTCGTCGGGAGGCCCTCATAAACATGGTTGGGCAGTGGGTCCATTTTATTTTGAGAGCGTTCCTAACATGCGTGATGTGGGTTTTCCCGAAGAGATGCTGCCGGGGTATGCGGCTAGACGGTAGCAGCCGTTGCCTACCCCGGATGTTGTAGCGTAAATGCATGAGCTGTAAACGTGGGGAGCTCACACCAAGGCTATGCAATTCCTGTGGGCCATTTGACTGGTGCATGTCTTATAAAGGCTTAGTGCTCATTCACTGTTCCTGATTAGTAAAGCTATCTAGGGGTCATACATCACTCTGGCCGAAGTAGGGCAAAGTAAATTGCGGTTATTATGGCTTTGAGCCTTGTGAAATTACAGCCCGTAACATGTGTTGATCAAAGAGTCGACAACGCCACTTTCTGAAGTAAGGCCGCGCGTATATGTGATCGAAGTTATCTCACCGAGCGACGTTCTCAAGCAGCCAACTCTCCGTCTCGGCCAATCACATCGCGTACTGCTGCGCTCAGCCACCCTTAACCCAGCCACTTTTGTAAGCTCCTATTATTGTCGTTGGCTGAGCAGGTGACGCGATCATCCATGCGCCTGTTTCGCCGTACGCCGGCGGTATTAACACACAACTGTCAAATCAAGCTCAGCAGAGCGTTTCTGCTAATCAAATAAGCAAGGCCGTTCCCATGGATCGTGCGGAACGAGCCCTCTCTGCCTTAACGGTCCAATGAGGCTCAGGCGCGCGTAATGCTCTTGATTGCAGCGTGGCTCATATCGTCATGACGGCATGCGCAAGTTCAACTGGCGCCTGTACTTATAAGTTGGGACAGTCACCAATGTAAGCAGTCATATCATTACACATCCTCTTACCATGACAACATTACAAAAATCAGTATCCAGGACAATGCCAAATAACCAACTAACAGTAAAGGACGTTGATGTAGTCCAAGGTGGAATATTTTGGTTGCCAGCAGAGGAGGACTTGCCGAGGCAGGCGGTGAAGAGAGCACATGGCGCAGGTGGTGTCGAAGGCATTCATGCGCATCCAGTTTTTGTAGTTTCCAGGCCTGCAGAGGATAGCCACATTGCTCATTTTCAAGTTGTGAGTAAAATGTTTATTGTAGTTCGTAGATGCCACTACTAACATGCCGAAGATCTCCTCACGGCAACGAAGAACACTTGGCGACCTGTACAACAAGACAAATGAGTTCCATATCAGCCTGCACACCTCATGCCTACCGATAGAGCAATCACCAGATCATTCACACGCAAGTTTGAGAAGGACCATGAAACGATCTTCAACTCTGCAATTAGCCAACGGCGCCCAACTGCAATTGGATTCACATGTGAACATCCGGAACGTTTACAAAATCGACTGGTCGCTCTTGAAACGGTACACAAATCCAGAGACCCCGGATGTCAAACAGTTTTACTTCGATCGTGAATCGACAACACGGTTGTTGGCCAAATCCGCCATTCTCACCACGTACGAACCGGGTGCGCAGCATCAAACACTTTCCTCGCAAACTCTGGAGAGCATAAGTTTGAGCTCTGATATTGCAGATATGATACCTGCGCTGCAAAGATCGATCTCAGAGCCCTTGTGGGTGTCAGCAGAAGATGTTCGAACAGTCAATCGTCGGAGGTTCTCAGAATCGGACATTTGCTCGGCAAAATCATTTAGGCATTCAGAGTCTTGTTATTCTTCGTCAAGCCTTCAATCAAGAGTCGGTTGGCATGAATGTCGAAACAACTCTATGGCAGAAGCTCAAAAAGATACAGCGGGCGAAACGGCGACACATAGTTCAACGATATGGACCTTGAAACACCCACTGGATTGCTTGTGGAGACACATTACTGATGGTTTCAAAAGCACTGCCATAACACGAAGCCATCTCAAGAAACGCGAGAAGAGCCAGATCTGGGTGAATGCGAAGGGTGTAATGGCAGTCATCATAGCTTCAATATAGCAATCAAATAACATTAACAAGCAACATCTCTTCGTGATCATCCGATGTGTTTTCCATAAGTGTCGATCCATTTGAGAGCATTAGAAGCGGTGTGGGCTTCATTCTGTGGTCTTTCGTCGTTTGCCAAGTTTTGAACATAATCTTGAAGACGTCGATAGGTCACTGAGTGGTCCACGCTGGATACGTCTTGTGCGAGAGCTGTGCGAATAAAAACCCATAGCGACTCATTCTCGATACTGAACTTGATGGCGTAATCCAGTACATCTCTCACCAGCTCTTGCCTCAGTGATGGCGCTAATTGAGGCATCAAGTACAAAAGAAAAGACCAACCAGATATGTCGCTTGGGTGTCTGCAACACCATTGTTTGACAAGTCGAGAAAGTTGGTCATCCGGCCCGAAACCACGGGCTTTTTGCACCAGTCTACGAGCATACTGCCAGGCATGGTAATTCTTAGGATGTTGCTCCCCAGATTTGCACACAGCTCCGAGTTCCTTGTTCCGAAAGACCGCCTTTTGATCATCCAATTTGTCTGTCAGATGGACAAGTATGAGGGAGTCTACAATACGGGAGCGGTGATACCATAGGGTCGGTGACTTTGACTGGCGATGCAGTGGAGATGTGAGGACGCTGTCTAGAAAATAAAGCTCTCGTTGTAGAGCCTTGTGAAATGTGTTCCCAGCGTGGAGTCCATATTCAGACTCCAGCTGGGTAAGCACACGCTTACGGTAATTTGCAGCAGTGAGATGTTCCGGGTCAAAGAGAAGGATAACCTTTGTCGCCTGTATTGTCTGATTTATTGTGGAAGGATCCTTACTCTGCCTGTTCGCGAAGAATAGTCTGCGTGCTTCCATGTAAGCCAAAGCAAGAGCTTTCTTTGATATTCCAAGTGATGACTCTTCTTGTATCAAGACACCGTCTGGTGGCTGTACGGATGGCGGAAGAATTGCGATTTCCACGACTTCGTTGTCATGCTCTTGAAAGTATTCGGCCAATGATGTATAGGCCAGTTTTTGTAATTGAGATCTCTTGGAAACGTCTGAATCCATCGTGCAGAGCTTGAGCACATTGAGTCGTTTGGTCAATTTTAGTGTTGACTGAAGTTGAAATTGAGCTGTCGAGCTAAGGAAGTAGGAAGAGTTGACAGGTAAGCGCAGGAAGCATGGCTACGCACGGTCCACTGCTCTAGCTTGTCACTACTAAATTCCACCGTATGACATAACGGCTTTTCGCTCATCTGGACACAACACCATGCGATGAGAGCACCCCGCATAGCGATTCTTCTCCACCGCCGTCAACCATGCCGTCGCTTCTCTTGGTAGTCTTCATACTCCAGCTGCTGCTCCATGTCATCAACACGGTTGGCAAAAACACCGTCAACGAGCTGGTAAGCCCCGCCTTGGATTGCAAACACGGGAGGACCCTGTGCTGACAAGGCTCCAGCTATGGATACTTTACAATAAGCTACCGACGCCCAGTTCGGGCTCTGCAAAGCGATGCCAAATTCTGAAGAAGGAGATTGTTCAACTGAAGCGCGAGTTAGGGAACACGTCGCCTCAGGACAACTTCTCCAAATGGGCAAAACTTGACAGACAGCACAACAAGGCCATGGCCGAGTATCAGAAACTGGGTACGTTACAGTCGGCTCGGCAGCATTTGGTCTGTCCAACTCGCGTATGATTACTGACGTGCCTTGCTCCAGATGGCTCTTTGCGCTCGCATCACTCAGCTTTCACGTCTGCCGTCTCGACCCTTCGCTGGCTCGGAACGCAGGGCCTCCGCTTCGTCCTACAATTCTGGTTCGCGAAATCGCCCATGTTCTGGATACCGGCGGGCTGGGTTCCGTACTATGTGGAATGGATACTCAGTTTCCCGCGCGCGCCGCTAGGCAGTGTGAGCATAAACGTATGGGGTATTGCATGCGCAAGTATGATTGCTCTTGTTGCCGAGGCAGTTGCGGCAGCATGGGTACTCATTATGCACAAGCCAACACCTGTGGCTGCAGAGAAGCAGCGCCAGAAGCAAGAAGCCATGGCATTCAGCGCCAATCAGAAACCTGCAGAGAAGAAGGAACTATAGTAGTTTTGCCTTTGTGCTTGGCGTATGCCGGTGCAGATGCCACGTTTCTGGTGGTATTCTATAAATACAAGTGTTGAAATCAATAATGTCTCCCATCAAAAGACGCAAAGTCGTCCTGGCTTTCGCTCTGACACTGCAACACGAGTGGGATGATCTTGGCAGATCGTTTGGCTTCTTCTAGGCTACAAATTGAACCCGTGATCGTGGAGGAGTAGCGAATCACCGAGTCTTCGAAAGAGCCAATGTCAAATGTCAAGGACAAACATGCACGCAAGAAGTAAGGACTGGCGGCGCTGTACAGAGCAGTTGAACATGAAGCTGCGCAGTTGTACAGCAAGCCCGCGCTTGCGTCGAGAGTTCTGAGTGTGATGTTTCGGTAGTTGGTTGCGGCGAGGAATTGGAGAAAGAAAAGTTGAGAACTAGGCGCTAAGGTATCACGGACCGACAATGATCCGCGACCCGCTTTCGGTCTCCTGCTTGTTCCGCGACCATGACCTTGTCAAGTCGTAGCACGCTTCGCAATTGCAGATGTACTTACGCTTTCTTGACTACACACATACAATCTACACCTCGTCTCTTCTTGCAGCTGCTTAGATCATGATTTGCGCTCTTTTCCTCTTGCACTCGAGATGTTGAAGTGTGCCCAGCCCGTATTGGTCTGGAACGCACACGGCACTGACGACACGACTAAGCCTTGCGCTTATTACCACTAAGTTCCAGTGGGCGTTGAAGAATCCGATTCAGCACCGACCCGGTCCATTCTTCCTGACGGTGTGTCAGCTGTTGACTAGCTGGATACGGTAGCCTGAGGCAAAGTTGCCGGTACGAAGCCCTTGATCGCCGTTCAGGCGAGCATTCTCTCTTTCGCCTGGCCAATCATGTACGCATAAGCCTCTGGAAAGGCCTCACGGCTCGCATCGACGCACAGGCAGTATACGAGTGCGAGGGGTAATGTCGGTATCACTACGTGCCGTGTTTTCCAAGGCACGCACCAAAGTCAGACGATGCTGATGATTGAATCGCGCTCTCCTTTGGGCCGCTCAGACGACTATGACGGGAATTTAGTGACAGAGACGCTCTGCAGCTGCCCAAGGCACATGACTGTACCGACCCCACACGAGCGGCTCACCTCTTCCCCGCAATCTGAGATCAAGGCATTACGTGCAGTCATCGCACGCAGGCTGCCGCCCAGCCCTAAAGCCCGTGGTTGGAATAGAGTTCTTGAGGCGTCTGGGCGAGGCAAGGTGGGGGACCATGGGTATGGCAGATTGCTGGACGCGTACTACATACAACAAACCATAGCCCTGACGCTTTGAGAACGCCGCCCGTTTCGTGCATACCGTCTTCTCCATGACGGCTGGTGCTGAGCGAAAATCTTTCGGCCCAAACCTAATTCACCCCACAGAATCCAACGCTGTCCAGACCCTAAGCGGAGCCAGCAAACGTCTGCGTCTGTGACTCGAGCCGAGCAAGCGTCAGGCAGCCTGTTCGTCCTTCAGCCTGTAGGTGTTCAACTTCCATGATCCCTGTGATCCGCCAAGAGGCCGCCCAGTGCGAAAGCGACGTATTCGCTGAGACTCGGCCGGGACAGGCGCTGTGACGAAGTGGCGTCAGCTCTCCGCACGATCCATACGTGTTTCTCCCAATGACGATCAGAGGATTTTCGCTCTGGCGCAAGCCCTGTCCAACTCGTGGACAAGTCGCGCATTTAGCAACGTCAACTCCACATCGCTCGCCCTGACTGAATTCTCCGCCTTTTTCTGGGGTCGGTGGTCTTTTCACCGCATCGTCCCGCCTGTCCCCGTACACCGTCTCTCCTGCATCTCTCCTGCACCTCTACGCATTCGCCACTCCTCAACACCAACACCCACTGTCAAAATTCCCCTTGACAGTAGGGCTGGCGCCAGATAATGCCGTGGCCCGAACGCCAGATTCCGAGACGCCCGCGACCGCGATAAGACGCTTCTCCGCAATCCATCATCTTCGCTTCATCTATGGCATCGCTGGATACGGTATAGCCCAGTGCACGACATGGCCGCCACCAGCTTCAATGGAGATTTTCCCACGCGGGGTCCAGTTGTCATGGGCGTTTCGGCCGCAACGCTGGCAATATGCTCAGTATTCGTCGGCCTTCGCCTGGTGTCCAGATTTTTGGTGGTGCGAAAGCCGGGATGGGATGACTATACGATGATCCTCGCATGGGTAATTGCTTTTGGCGCCTCTTTTTCCATATGCTATGGCACGACAAAAGGATTGGGACGCAAACAAGAAAACATACCACAAGAATGGCAGGGGCCAATGAAAGAATCATCCTATGCCTTCTCTGTACTCTATGTATGTACTCGACATTTTGCATTGCGAATACCAGAGCTAAGATGCAGCAGAACCCAGCTCTTATGGCGACCAAGACCTCGATTCTCTTGTTCTACCTGACACTCTCCAAGACTCAGAAATTGTTTCGAAGAGCTACTATCGCAACCCTTGTCGTAGTCAATGTTGGCGGACTGGCGCTAACAATTCTTAACATTCTGCAATGTCGGCCCGTTGGTGCTGCATGGGCTTCTCGAGTTCCTACTACAGCACATTGTACCAACATCGTGACAATCTACCTCTCTTCGGCACCGCTAAACATCATCACCGATTTGGCCATCCTGTTCCTCCCGATGCCTATACTCACCAGCATGCGCCTGCCTAAAAAACAGAAAATTATCCTGGTTATCACGTTCGGTTTCGGCATATTCGTAGCAGTTGTCGATGTCATCCGTATCGCATATCTTCAGCAAGCTCAGCGCAACACTCTCGAGGCAGCCCAACGACAAACTACAGAATCAGGAAATGAACAAAGAAACACGGGGGATTTCTCGTGGTTTTCCTCTTTGTCGTTTATGTGGAGCGCTGTCGAGATCAACCTGGGCATAATGT